CCGGCTGGTAGTGGTTAAGATATCCTTGGAGGAAAATATGGCAGTTCATAATATCAATCAAATATTCTCCAGTAAATAATTTCATCCCATTTGATAAAGAAACAGAGAGATTCAAGGACAGAACTTTACATTCACCAGTTCAAAAGTTTGTCTTACTATGTGGTCATAGTCGTCATCGGGCTTGCTCCAATCATAAGCTAATTCAGATGAGGGTTGGTGTTCATCTAGAGTAAGGGGATCTTCAGCTACAGGTGAGGGGTGCTACGGGGTGGTCAAGGAAGTAGCCAGCAGATGGGTGAATAGGTACCACATGCAAGGAACGGGGGAGTCGTTACGTGCTACTCATGGATAAGATCAGATTTCTTCACTGTATTACAGCATCAAGGGCAGGGCACTTATGCTTTTGTAAAATAAGATAAATTTTTTTTTTTTAATCCTGAAAACAGACACCTTCCTTTCTTAAAAAGCTCCATCACTACAATTCCTTTGATAATAAAGATCTGAAGAAACTGTGTTAAAGGAATTAAGAATCTCTCCAGGAAATATTTCTGGAGATCTAGATCTGGAAATAGCATAATCCACTTCTCTCCCGGGCCCCTCAGTAACCCAAATCCATTTCACTTGTTGATCAGAAGGTAATACCTACCTCCTCTACTGGTCCATCTAACTCACTAACATCCAACTTGTAGGCTGGCTTGACTTCTGATTTGGCTAGGGTTTCCTCAAAGATTACGGGAGGGGAGAACTAAAGGGAAGGAGCGAAAAGTAGTGACTAGCACTAGGTGGAAGCTAGACTAGGCCGTGCAAGACTGGATCTACATTTCTCTAAGGATACGTAATCTGCTTATTTCCTTACCAATGTCTTCTTCCTCGTGTTCAATAAATACGAGTAATAGACATGTGTGACCAGCTCTGTGAAAATGAGTCACAAGTTGCCAAAACCACTTTTGAGTTTTCATTTGTATTGGAAAGAGCAAATTGAATAGTTTTTTCTGATTTATCACTCAGTTTGGCATCCTGATGAAAGCGGATACTCCATGGTGAAGAATGCTGTGGGTTCCTATTAATTTACACAATGCAAAATTATTCTGAAGGACTTTTTACTCAAAAGGAGCTCTGGAGACTTAAGACTTGTTTTCACAAAATGGGTCACATATACTGCTGACTTTGTATAATTTAACCATGAATTTTGCAACGGTAACAAGGCTATAATTTTGCCTTTTTCTCTTAAATTACATGAAAAACTGGCATGATTGTAACAAATTTCAGAGAAGAAAACCATTCATGAAGACTAATCATAAGAAGTCAATGAAAACATAAACATATATATTGAAACAGGGTTTCAAACAAAACAGGCAGCATGAGAACATGGATTCAAAGAGTGCTTTGCTAGAGTGGCATGTACAACTTTTGAATCGAAACGCAGGATGCTCACTAAAATTCACACTGAACAGCAAAACCTTGAAACGGCTGCAAACTCTACACACAAATTTCACACGATGCATTATTGCTACTGCACACTACTGCAGCATTTCCTACAGAAACAAACCTCCACTGGCTCCTCTGTCTGCCTGGTAAGAAGGTCATCATCTCGGGTGTCAGAAGGGAGGGGGTCAAAGGTCAGCAGGTCACCAGCGGCAATTAGTTGCTCTGAGAGTACCAGGGGTTTGGGGGGAGACTGCGAGGAAAGGGTGTGCGAAAGGAAGGTTGGCGGGCTTGATGGCATGAAAAAGGGTTACATGCGTGATGAAAATCTACTCCTAAGTATAAATGCACACTACGCCAGGCAGTTTGTTGTGGATTTTTAAGCATAAACGACTTTCTGAATGTGCCCTTCGTGAGGATTTGTACCTGTCTTACCAGCTTGGTTTACTAATTTTTGTCTTACAAAGGCATACTTTTGACATACTTCTTATTGAATGTTACCACACATTGAGGATAAGAAGAATACATTTATACCACACCCAGATGAGTGATACTGAATGTAAACACATGTTCATATGTTGTGACACACACAAAGCTAAGAATCATACCTTCATCCGTAACCACACAAATCTATCAAATTTGCCACAGTTTAACAGTGACAAAGCAATATCAATTGTGTGCACTTAAGAACGATTACCAACGCAACAGTTGTGTTTGGATCTTCAATTCAGTGCATGCCACATATCAAAGTTAATGGCATAGCTTGTGCTATTAATCATTTTGGATTGTAACCAATTTAAGAGGGCTCTTACTCAAATGCTATGGGAATAATGACATGTAAATCCTGTAGACAGGGAATGGATATTAATATGGAATGCAATCACCATATTTCAAAGGGATTAGTCTGACCTGTTCTTCCTTGACAAGTTAAAACAGAGTGTGTAATTCTTTCCTAACCAAGTTCTCGGTGACCAGTTCACCAAAAACTACTTCAGGGTGTTTGCCTTATTGGAAAACTGACAAAAGTGATATACTGACAGCATCCACATTTTACTTTTCTTCATTTAACTGTAACTGGACATTACCTAATGTTACGTATGTTTATGCAGGGTTCGACATTAACGCTGGTCCGCTAGCCAAATTAGAGTAAAATCTGCGGCGGTCTAACGAAAGCCCTCGTCTGGGTAGTCCAGCGGTCTAATAAAACAATACTCTGAAATAAGCCGTGAAATATTTGATAGTGATGCATGCCCTCTAGCTGCTGCTGGTTTTTTAAGCAAATAAAATAGAACCTTTTGCAACCAAGAATAGTTCAGTCCCTGGCACCAGCCCAGCAGGAGTAATGCTGAAGTCTATGAATGCAGCGGCAGTAAATAGTCTGAAACTTCTGTTCCGTGATGCCTTTGTGGCGCAATCGCAGTTAACTGTGGGCCATTCCTCCATGGTTTACTGTACTACAGCGTGTGGCCGGTACGTCTCAACAATGCTATGATTTGATGTCGGTTCTGCGTACAAGATCTAAATCAGCACAGGCTTTCATGCATTGCATTGTAGAGGTACAAGTAAGTCATGAATATGCATCCCACGTGTATGACGTGCTGAGTGTGTATGGTGTGTGTATATGCATTACGTTACTATGAATATGCAATATTGATTTTTCTGATTGGTCATTAATAGTTGTAACACCAGCGATGTCACAAATGTGATTTCGTGCTTGGTTCGCGCTATGGGTTGCACAACACCAAATACGCGCCCATAGAAAACATTTGCAAAATCAGACCAAAATAGCGCTACCTGTTGACTCTTGGGAAGAGCTTGGCCTCCGTTTTTTCAATGGAAATTCAAGACTGTGGCCAGAAGATCACTTTTCGTTTCAATTTTATGGGGGTTAGACAGGAAATATTTTTCATTCACCTTTCCCAGAAGATACCTCTAAAATAGTGGTAAAACTATGCGCTCAGATCTGAATGTAGCCTCCGCCACTTTTGAAAGAAATACTCCGAACTGGAAATTATCAGTCCCAAATTTGGGATTTATAGAAATATTTCTATGATCCCTCCTGATTAAAGCATGTCTTATTGTAAAAACCCTGTGGGATCACAGAATATTAATGAGCTCACAAGCAGAAATACAACCATTTAGTGGAATGCACCCCACGGGTACTGGACCGTCAGTCTAGAGCGAACATGTACTGTATGTACATGTACATTTCGCCAGCGTACATGTGCGTGTACATGTGATACTGCATAAACATTCATGTACATGTACATGAACTGTTCATAATGATACGTTTTTTTTCTCTCTTGGATTGTGAACGAAACAAACCATTTTCAGCAGGTAACCCACTTTGCGTGTTAATTTGCTCGAGTAGAGTTATACCCTGAAAATTCATAATTCCCATGGCCATTTATGATTACTCATCAAAAATTAAACAGTCAGCACCAAGTGCACACTGTTATGCAGGATGTTGGAGCGGAAAACACTAAAAAGAATGTTGAAATTTGGGGGAAGACGCAGACCAGTGAAAATGCTGGTGGACTAGTAAAAAGCCATCACTGCTGGTCCGGCTGGCAAGTGAGAAAAGTTAAGGGCAAACCCTGGTTTATGACTCTGAATGGTTGGTCAAAGGAATAGATGGTCAAATATTGTGTGGAATTTAAGCAAAGTCACAAAAGGGTTAGTGGAAATTACAAATCACAACAATGGTTAACTTCGACATCTGCATACCTCCACTGGCCCAACTGTCTCTTTGACTATGACTTCCTCTTCCATCGGTTTGTCGAGTGCCGCCAGATTGAGCTCATACTCTGGTTTATACTCAGTTTGAGAGAGGGGTGTCTCAACAACTGGAGGTTTGGACAACTGAAAGGGGGTATCAAATGACACGTGCAGGTGCGACATAAAAACCAAAAACTATCCGTGCTTAGAAATGGCAGGGGAACTCTCGGCTTTCAACCAGAGAAATTTAAAATTGATGGTTTAGTTGCTTTTTCTACAGAATGCAAGTTTTTAGAGTAAGATGATTTCTAGGCTACGCACCACATAAAAATTATGATTAAACTACCGTATTTAAAGAGGAAAATCTAAATGATAAAACAATGTTTCCACAATTCTAAACTTTTCAGTACTCTAGAGAGGTAAAGTTGTCTGAGAAACTGCAGGGTATTTGAATGTTTCAGAAATTGAAAAGCAAGGCAAAACTATTGAAACTGTGCAAAATCAAATCAAAATGAAATTGACACTACATCAGGCCAGCAATTTATACAATGAGAGCTAAGATCTACTTGCATGGAAGGGCGTTTTTAAATTCAAGCACCGATTCCTGGTTTACCTACCTCTACTTTCTCCAGCGATGTCTTGGCTACTGGTGCATAGTGAGGTGGCTGCTTAGCCTTCCTCTCCTCGGCAAGTTTCTTGCGTTTCTCCTCCAGTTCCTCCTTCTTCTTCTTGTCCTCTTCCTGGAGACGCTCGGCCAGGTGGAACAGCTCGTCGTTCTTGTTCTCAAAGGACGACAAGAGGCGGTTGTTGGCGAGATGGAGGTTGTTCAGCTGACTCACAAATGTCGGAGAATCAGGTCCTGTGAGTGAAGGAAGACAGCAAATATCTAGTCAGTCAATTTACCATTTATGTACAGGGGTTGACCAAAGGATCTGACAAAAAATGTCTACATGCTGTGAGCCAGAATCGTTGGTTGGCAGCAATGCTATGGAGAGAAGCTTTTAAAAGAGTGAATTAGAACTAAAAATGGCTACAGCGCCTTGACACATTCAAGCAGCTCGCAGATAAATGTGTTTCCGTAAACTCACCATAAAGCTCCTTTGCCAGTTCATTCAGCTTCTGCAGCCGAGCCTTCTGAGGTTTCTCTCCTTTCTCCAGGAACTCGTCCACCTGATCCATCAACTGATGGGCTTCCTCCTCTGATCGGCAGAGAGGAATCCTGCGACCGATCGCTAACAGCAGCCCATTGCCTTTGTTCTGCCACTCCACAGTCTAATAATGAGTTTATAATGCAAGATAAATTACTATCAGTATTCTTTACAGGAACTAAGAACGAGGGTATTTTAATAACATCCTATAAATGTAAATGACCCAAATTTGTTGCATTGACAAATAAGGATCCAAATAACAGTAAATCACATCAAGATATATGAGACTACCTTTTCATAAGCCAACATTTACTGAGCATATTTCTATGGCTAAGCAACATGAAAAAATGGTCCCAGTGATACACTGAGATTTTGCCCTGATGTTAACATTCTGTGAGTCACTTGAAAAGAGTACCTTTTCAGTTGATGCCAAGGGAAGACAAAATTAATCGGGGGAATCGAACCTGCCACAACCAGAACACAGATCTACTATTTGCACTGTTTTCCACTGCACTGTCCCGCTCTGTCCTACATTAGGCAAACAAGTGTAACAGACCCAAGTTTACAGAACTTTCTTACTGTTTTGAACAGCTTCTGGAAGTCAATACACAGGACAAGTTTGTCTCTGTGATCATCAATGTCAAGGTTGAGGGTGTTCCACTGCCTCATGACCTGATCCATGTCATGTCGCACCACGGCCGACTCTGGTGGGTTCTGCTTCAGGACGGCAGTGGCTGAACTCAAGTAGGATTTAATTTGATCCTCCAGGGGCTGGGAGAGGAGAAACAATTTTATACTTATGAATATCGGAATTTAGACAGTGAATCAAAGGTTTTCCTATTTCTGGTACATATAGGTTTCGCCTCTTTGGAGAAAATTCACTGTTTTTTCATTCCTTTAGATCTTACAATTAGGTCATCCCGGCCGTATGACTATTATATCATCAGATGAAAGATTGGGTATTTTTATTTCATTCATTATTTCTGCGCAAGTTTCAGACTGTTTCGTGCCAACAGATCCTACATCCAGGGTGTAGACTGACGGAATGAGGAATATGGCACTTGCCACTTCGTTACTTGCCTTTAGTTTGAAAAGGACACAAGATTCCAAATAAATGCCACATCTCACATTTGTGTTTTCTCAGGCAGTAAGACGAGTGCTTAAAGCAAAAGATGTACTTCATACTGACATGTGCTGGAAGGAGGGTATTCAGGTAGTTGTTTTTCACACAGCTCATAATGTAACATTCAACTTTATTACTTTCTTGTACAAGGCAGCCAATATTATTGTGAGTACTCTACATCATCCATATCAGAGATTGAACTTCCCTGAGTGTAAAATATTAACAAGGGGTGACGACACTGCCCACAAATCCTCTTCACTAGTTCTTACACTGTTGGTGACAAGGCGCCGCTGAATTCACAAGCAATCCATCTGTATTGATACTGATCGCATGTCTCACCTCAATTTTTGACCTCCAGTCATCAAAGCGTCTTAGCTTGGTCTGAGCCATATCCACTGTGTCACCATAGTTCCCCTGCATGTCTTTCAGTTCCTTCTGGGCTTTGGCGAGGTTCACAGTCAGCTGCATTGTGTACAGAGCGCTTATGTTTATCTCAGATAGTAGACAATTCATAATTGTATAAAAAAATCTCCCTGAAGTTAAAGTCTCAGTTAGAAATAAATATTTCAACATCTAGATTAGATTTTCACCTTCTCAAAAGCATTGGTCTTTTCTTATTTTGGACTGTGAGACAAAATAAATTATGAAATCTTTATTTCAATCAGTAACAAAGCATTTGCAGCACTTCAAACATTTCTTCCACCTCAATAAGTTTAATAACCGGCACTAAGTATATCTATCCTTTTTTTCACTATACTGCAGACCATTTTCATGTTCAGAATTTCCAATGTTCGTACTTCTTACCTCTGATTTGTGCATTTGTAGTTCAGCCACACCCATGGAATTGCTCACTTTCCTCTTCTGTTGCTCGAGGTTCGTCAGCAGTCGGTCTTTCCTCATGCCAGTCTTGTGAAGAGCCAGTTCAATGTCAGCCTTGGAGACAGACACCGGATCCTGGACACAGACAGTAACCAAACAGGTTTGACCAAGCCCTACCCTTGAAAATTATAGTTTACGGTTCAAGGTAATGTCTGTGTTAAGTGAACTCCATGTTGTATTGCATGTGTATAGGCAAACATGTAGAAATTCAATAACCTAAAATTGGATTCACTTTCACACAAGTATGAGCTGAGATTGATTCTGCAGACTCCAAGTTCTGCTCAATCTTGGAGTGTTTTATTTACACGCATAAATGAACCTTTATTCTACAGTTTGAACTCTGTTGCAATCAATAAGTATTGCACTTGGATAACCAAGTTATCATTCAAGTTCTCATCAGTCTCTTTTAGAAGTGTGGCTGAGTTTTTCAGTACTTACAATCTTCTGAATCCCAGCAATCAACTTCTCTCCCTCGTTCACCGTCTCATCAAACTTGTCCTCCAGGTTCTTCTTCTGCTCCTCCATCCTCTTGAGTTGGATCTTGGCTTCAGACAGCTTCGTCGGTGCTGATGGAGAATAAGGGATTTGGAGTTCCTTCTCTGTCTCATCCATGGCTTTGTTGAGCTACAAGAAAAAGTCAGTTGCGGAATTCATGTACTTGAAACTGACAGTGCGCATAACAAAGCAACATTCTTGATAAAAGTAAGACAGACTTGCTTTGTCAGTGCAACTTTGAGATGTGGTGTGCATTTTGTAAGGAAGCTTTTATGGTCTAAAATTAGTCTATCACTGAGAGTCAAGAACACACTGGATCAAATCCTGCTGGCTAAGCCAGGAAAATTGCCTCCAGTGGATGACATCATCATGAAAAATTCAAACTTGAATAGGTAATTTCTTGCCAAGGAATTTTGTCCATCCAAATAATCAAATGCAATCCATGCTGAAATGAGCGTTAATTATTTCACTTTCACAGTTAGCAGGTTACGTGTGGCACAGTGTATGTTGCAATCACAGTGTGTAAACTTTTTAAATGGCAATATTTAAAGATGTTTGATTAGTACATATCCAAATTCTTGAAAAACTTCACTGGAACTAAATTCTCTTTCTGTTTTGTGGCTTACCTTGTTGACATTGTCGTAGAAGCCAACCATCATAGTAAGCAGTGCGCGGTACTTCCCTGTCCGATCCAAGAAGTGATGATATAGCTTGCTCAGGTCATCAATCAAATGTTCTCTACCTCCTTTGGTATCTCCTTTCTTGCCGAGGGAGTCGGCGGTGTCAATACAATCCTTGAGCTCATCACTCACTCGCTAAACAAGAAAACAATCCAAGGGACTTTGTTGATAATGAAATAGAATCTAAAACACATCTTTCAGACATTACGTCCCAAGAAATGCGATGGTAACTTAACTGGACAGTGTTGAACCCACTAACACAGTCAAAGCTGGATGCCAATTTAAATTCAATTTAGTTTATGGGGGTCATAGCAAGTCAAGTCTCAAAATGATCTTCCAACTGATGTGGGGGTGACTTTAAAAAAGTTCTACAAAATCTTGAACCAGAACATCTTTCCGTACAAAGGTACGTAAGCATTCTGACAGACTCTCTTCAAGAAAAGTCAGAAGTGTCTGTAGTTGGTGCAAGAGTTTTAGCTTTGAGCAATTACGCCTCTCCCTACCTTTGCGATGTCCTCAAACTCGGCCAACCTCCCAGGCAAACCCTTGGCATCGTTTGGGTTCCTGCTCATATCAGACGCAACTTGTGGGTAGTACTCTGTCTCTGTGCGGTGGGCCTTGTCCATGGTCTACAATGGTGGAACAGAAATATCAATACAGAACAAGAGATCAAACACCGTTCGTGACAATCAATGCCCACAATCCCCTCCTCCTTTACAGCTGTCTTGAGATTTGTGATAGAATTTTAGAGCCTTCTGAAGATTACTTTTAACCTTATAACAAAGGTTTAAGAACATAATAAAACTTGCACTCATTGTGGCTAAATTAATAAATAAAAAGATTACCAATGATGAACAAAACTACATGAGAAAAGATAACCAGAGCAAAGAACAGCTCATACATCGATTTACTGCAAATGTGATAAACAGAGACAGATTTCAGTGAAATCTGCTGCTGTTGAATTATGGAAATCATCAATGTTCCTCATCGAATTGCAACCACGAAGAACGAAAGAAAAGAAATAACTGCACTTTAATGAAACTTTTATGTTTACCTGTCTAGCATCTTGGACAAACTTCTGCCACTTGCTCAAGAACAGCTGGCCCGAGTTGAGCCGCTTGGTCAGCATGTCATACAGACCACTCAGGTGCTGTTTGCGTTCCTCCAGGCCCTTCAAGGCACGGCTGACATACAGCTTGGACGATGTGATGTCCAACTCTGGGTCATTTTTGATCTGTGGGAAATGATAGACAACAAGGTGGAAATGAAAGTAGGAATTACAAACACAACTGCTGACAGTGCTTTGTTAAGCCAAATAGGAATGTTTATGAGACAGAGTCATTCAGGGTAACAGCAGCTAATGCTAAGCTAACTTTAACAAGTTCAGGGCATGTGAGTCAGCGCACTGGCACACTGATGTGTCCAATTTTACACATGCATTCTGTTTATCTATAATTACCTACAGCACACTCCATGTTTGTATATGCACTGCTGGAAACTTGTACGGACTTACTGGGGTTATTTTGTCCAAATTACAACCCTTGAAAGCCTAAAAATGGCAGGCATTAGTTTATCGTTGTAGAATTAATATGGAAAAGGTTTGCAGTAACATCGTGTAAATCTCTTTCGAGGGTAAGGGGGGTTTTGAAGAGAACCAGTGAACTCAACATTTAGGACAGTATGCTGTCCGCCATCAGGACACTGACTCCAGCATTAAGTTCTATGGACATAACAATGGCAAACCACTCACAGCTGATGCCTCTGAGAGGAAATTGCGTCCAGTGTTTTCAAACTGAACATAGATCTCAATCACATTGCTCCATTTTTCCTGCAGGTGTTGCACCGTCTTGGCCGGTATGTCAGGTGCATCCATGCTGATGTAACAGTTCAACTGCTCTTCCATGTTCTCCATGGCATTGGTCAACTGTAAATGAGCAAAATTTCAGTGAAGTGAGTATAAGTGAACAGTGAAAATGGGCTTGACCTTGCGATCGTGCCATCTTGTCTTTATTGTGGTGGTTGGTCCGTCTCTTTTTGTCTGCTTTTGTGTAGGTCTGGTTTTGTGTGTGTGTTGTTTTGTGTTTAATTTTTTAAATATTATGTACTCGTATTTTTATTTTGGATATATGGCGCTTTATAAATGCAGTTATTATATTTATATTTATTATCTTCTCACCATGGGCAAGGACTTAACGGCCAATAATTAGTGAAAATATATGCTTAACAGGATCTGGTAACAAGTAAAACTGCCATGAAATGTGTGCTGGCTGTTACTAGCTCTCAGATGAAATTTACTCGGTATATAAGGGTAATTCCAGAAATGAAGGGTCCATAAGTTTGACTTTTTATGTCCCTGTTGCATCTGACCTTTGTTATTTCACATGGAAATATCACCGGAATCGATTTCAAATTATTACTATTTGTTTGGCAGGTGATTTGCATTAATTCATCTCTCTTGGAAATTAGAAAATGTGTTCTGAACTTATACAATCATATATCAGATGTGACAGGGACACACAAAAAAATGGACCCCTAATTTCTGGAATTACCCATAAACCTGACCGTCTCTCATGCTGAACAGTTCAACACAAATGGGCCCAGGTATTTATAATTTCCAGCTTGGTTAAAACAATCTAGATCATTAAGAGGCACATTTGCTTCTTTTGCACACCCCACAGCCTGCTTTTGTGGCCAGCAATACTGGGAGTAAGTGACACTCTTCGTGACTTAATGATGTCGATCGAGGTATCCTTTCACACTTGTAATTTATTCCCACGCTAACGTCACCCAGTTTCCCCATTCCCCACCTGTTTAGTGTGCTTGTGGAATTTGATGAGGATGAGCACAGCATGCAGCCGTTTGTCCACACACACAGTCACACGGGACCAGTGCTGCTGCAGTTTGTCGCAGCGGTTCTGGACAGCAGTGACCTGTTCTCGATCTGCTAGGGAAGGAATCAGCTCAGAGGAGATCTTGAAAACTTTGTCAACTTGCTTGGCCCTTTCCTGTGAAATTGAAAAAAATTGTGCCATTTTTCTTGAATGTTTCTTTGAAATGCAACTTACTGCTTCGTCTATTGAGCAAAACACAGTTCCACCATCTGGAGGTTCTGGGTAATTTTTGATCTTTAAAAATGATATGATCTTGACATTATTACCGCTACTTTTAAAAGACAGGATAACATAAATCCTTTAACAGTTACAAAACATATAACGAACCCTGTTCAAACCAAACAATATCTGCAACTGCAGGAGGAAGTGTAATGTTTTTAAAATTTTAGGGGAAATGGTTCTTGGCAAAGAGAAACTTTGAGTCAAGAGCCTTTTCATGCCTTGAGTAATATCAGCACCTGCTTGAACTTCAGCCAATGCAAGTACACTCCGGAGGAGGTTTCTCCACAGGAGAGGAAGATGATGGATAAAATAGACATCTGGTTCCAGACTCAACTTACTAATATGTCATCCATCAGTCTCTGGTGGCCATCCTGGAAGTCCATGCTAGTCTGCAGCTGATCGCCCATGTCGTTGCTGGCTGACAGGAAAGTATCGGCAACGTTGACCAGCCATTTCACAATCACCGAGTAGCACTCATCAAAGCTGACTTGAAGAGAAGACCTGTGCTGGGCCTCTGGGCTGCATTCTGATTGCAAGCGTTCTGACTGGGTCTAGGAAAACAAGACCAGAAATATTAGCACTTTTAGTTTAAAGCTTAAGATCTCTGAAAGTACAGTACATGTAATAACTTTCTGCCAAATAAATTTTCGACAAATTTTAAATCCTCACATGATGAAATCATGCTAAAGAAGCAAGTACTCTGAGTATGCATAAAATATTCTATGAGCAATATAGTTTTAACATCATATGCCTGGACAGAGTTGTTGCACACTTGCTCAACTTAAAGAAACGGAGTTCGAGTGTTTGACAGTTCTGAAATTTGCTGAGAACCAGATGTCATAAGAAATCCAAATTCCAGTAAATATAAATTGCTACCGGCAAAACTAACTGGCCCAAATGCAAGTTGACTAAAGTTGAAGTAATCTGCCAAATTTGAGCTACGTCAACGTACAATGAGGGCATTTACAGAAACCAATTCAGAGAGACATCATCAGACAAATTTTGACTTAATAATGCCAGTGAATTCAACAAGCCCACCTCCAACAGGTCCAGTTTATCCTTGATCCCTTGTGCTCCCGGTGTCCCCCTGCCGACCCTCTCCAGCAAGGTGTGGCCCTCCTTGATGACCGGTTCCGATATCTCAGCAACGGCATTGCCCAGCTGAGCCAGCCGGGCCGCCCTGCCGTGCGGCTCACTCGGCAGCTTCTTGGGGCTGAGCTGGATCTCCACCTGAGAGAGGTAGGTCTGGGCCTGAAGCGGGGCAGAAAGCATCCTTAACTCTTTAGGAATTTTCCCAACTATCTTTCGAAATCCCTCCGAATCCACAAACCTATGATACATTCTTAGTTATGGGTTCTGTTCTCATCAATGCCACAAATCCTCAAAAATCTCCTGATAGATTTTGAAGTATCAAAGAGGTGTAAGGATGAGAAAATGACATGTAATGTAACAAAAGAGGAACTTAATGTCACTGTTGTAGGTTAAGTGGCTCATAAGTTAAGTAGCTCCAGGTTGCTTTAAACACAGCTTTAATGATCTCTTGTCATATTTTGAGCACATACTGAAGGTCAAGCATAGTTTACAATGAATCCACTTTTGACCATGACAGTCCTCCATCATCCAATTTCAAAACTTTCTTTTCAAAAACCCTTGGAGGTTAGGGTAGGCCCCTAGACAGTTGTTAAAGTTGGCTTGATGACACCTCACAAAAACTGGGTCTAGATTTAAGATGTTTGTCATAATTGTGTTGATGATGTGAAAATGTACAGGCATCCTGTGGGTGAATCTTTCAGATTTTAGTCAGTAAAGACACTGATGGTACCAGGGTTTATTTTTGACTTACAAGTTCAGCGTTCTTGTAGAAGTCCAGCACAGCTTGCAGCAATCTGCCACGATAGGCCAAGCGTCGCATGTAATCATCACTAAGTGTCTCAATGGCTCTGGTCTGGCTGCGCAGATGATCGGTGTGCTCCGGGTTGGAATGACAGATCTGCTCAGCTGTGTGCCGTAGTTGGTGTACATTACCTTGCATATCCTGACACACAAATAAAAGGTGAAGATAGTTTTGGAATGGACCCTTTATTGGACTGTATTTCAACTGATTTCCTAATGGCCAAAAAAATCAAGCATGCAGAAAGTAACAGCAATTTTCATTGGAAGAACAGAATCAGTTTGATCAGTTTCAATTCACTCCCTGACAACAGCAGGTAAACGTAGCCAATCTTGCAGCCAACAAAGGTTATCTTAACTGAAAACACTGAAATTATTTCATGATGGAAGTTAGGGGTATGGCAGGAACTTACTTCAGCTGAGGTCTGGAATTCAAGATGTTCTTTAAAGAGCCGTTCGGTTGCAGGTGTGTCGTCACCCACGTCTTTCTTCTTCAGATAGTCTTCACCTCTGGTTTTGATCCAGTCAGAGATCTGAAAAATTGTTAAAATTTTACAATTGGCATCTACAACTTGTGATATCCCTGTTTTCTTCGAAATCCTCCGATGTGCTGAAGACTAAGAGTACAATTAACACTGTAACTTTCCACAGGTCTTGACTTTACTTCTCTACATCTTTCCCTATCCTCCCCAAACTGCTGGTAAATGTTAATGGATCTGCATCGGTTAAAATTAGCACATAAAAGAGGCCTACTTTGCAAGAAGAAAAGGTAGAACCAAAGGGCGGAATGCTGGAATGTTTTACTGAAACACCACATTCTTTTAATTTATGCTACTTGAGAAAATGTCTGATGTTTATTATTCTCTTCTCAACTGTATTTTTGAAGTTATATCCAAAGAGAGAATGTATATATTCTGAGTTAACTTAAAATGAACTGTTACCCTACCTGGTTGACTTCTTGATCCAGATCACTCAGTGCGATATATTGCTCCAGTCGCCTCCGCTGTTTATTCCACAGGTCCTCAAGGGCTCGTCTCCTGTCCTGGAGGTCGTCAAGAACATTCTGCACGCCCAGGGAGGATTGCTTTGAAGCCTCCTTGTCGTCTGGGGAGGCGTCCTTGCTGAGGGCGTGGAGTTGCTCCACCAGGTCCTTGCCAAGGTTCATTGTGTCCATGGAGCTGGTTAAGATGTCTATCAAGGACAAAAAAGATACACTGTATACCTCAAGGTGATCATTCTACAAACTAGCAGGTACCACAAGACAAAAAGTGAAACTTAGTCCAAAAGTAACATAGGCTGGGTGATCATTTGCGTAGTGCCTAAAATAATCCTGAAGAGGTATTTTGGAAACAGACTTTGACCGATGGCAAAAAGAATTTTAACTTTAGTTCAAATCATCAAAATACACACAGTGCAATGTGACAGCAAAGACCTCAATCTATTTTATTTCCAGTAATGCCACCTTCTGGAATAAGAACTGAAGGAATAATCTCTACTATTTGGAATAAATTACAGATGACAAGGTTGTGAGTGGCCACCTAAAATTAAAGCTGAAAACAGCTAGCAAAAAGCTGAAATGTAAAAGTTCCCACACTTTGGTATAGACCAGGTGTACAAAAAAAGCTGAAATTCGGGGTCAACATCTATACAAAAAAAGCTGAATTCTCACATCCCTGAAATGAATGATGGATTACGGGCTTACCTTCTCTGATCTTGTGGTGGTCCTCCATCAGTTTGTCTGTCCCTGGTATGTCAGGAGGAAGATCAGGACTTCGGAACTTGGCATTAGCTTTTTCCAGTTTGTCGGAGAACTAGAGGAAGAAAAGTCTAGTGATTAATGCGACACCTTTTCCTACTAACAGTGAGAATGTTTGTTTTCTTTACTTCAATTTCTTTTCCAATTCAGTGAATAACTTTCCCAGGACAATTCAAGGTCTTAGTGAGAGATCCCTGCCAAAGTTAACAGGGGACTGTAGCAAATGCTATAAAGAAATTTATGTAATATTATAGCTTTTAATCCTTTTCAAAATTAAGAGGTGAGAATCAGCGGATGCTTGCATACTTCTAGGCAGTCAATCTGTTTTCCTGTTTCAAGGAATACAATTACTTGACGTCAAAATTCCTGTGGAAAGTCTCCTTTTGTCAAGCCTGTATTTGCCAGTACCGTCACTCAAATAGTAACCTCACCTCTGCTGCACTTTGGTGGAAGGCCACTGACTGATCCAGAAGCTTCCTTCTCTCTTCCAGCTGCAAGTTGAGATCCTTCCACGCTTCGCCCAGTGACTGGGCCATGGCTTCGTAGACATCGTCATAGAACTGCTGGGTGGAGACTAGGAAGTCAGCTTGGGTCAGGAGGCTGTTGATGTGCTGTTGTTTGGACTGTGCATTTTGAAAAAAAAAAAGGAGAGAAGAGTTGGAGATTGGTAAATATGAAACAGGCTGAGCGGTGGTGAGCAATTTCCTAGAAGAAAAACTTCCAAGGGGCGCCAAAGCATCTTCTCTTCAATAACTTACCTTTCAATCAAAATCCAACAAAATGACACATCATGAATTCATTAAAGCAATGAGCATTTACAAATCTATGTAGCAAGTATTTGAGCAGGTACCAATCCCATAAAATGTGTAATGTGGAAAAGCCCTAGTAAAAAAAAAAACTGCCTAAATATTGCTAATGTTTGACAAATACAAGTCAGTTTCAATCGCATGTCGCTGCAAAGGATTTCAAAGGATTGAGGTTCATGTAAGAGCTTAAAGAAAGCCACAGATGTCACTATTTTATCATCAGGAATAATGTAGAAGTGAACACGCACTGCATTAATTCAAAGCTCACTTGATTAACTTGATTTATTACCAAAGAAAGAGAATTTAATCCTCCAATCTCTCATTTTTGAAGATTACAAGTTAACAAGGGGTAAGTGAATGCCTTCAAACACATTGCAGAATTCTGTTTTATGTCATGTTTTACTACCAAATGTCTTCAGTCAAGCTGCCCTCACCCCCTTCTATTGCACAGAACCCCCTGAGTTCAGATGTCACTGGTCTGACGCACTCAACACGTAGTTGGTGATAAATTCTTTGCTGAATGAGTTCACATGGCCCGACTTGTGTCCCTTGACTGACACTTCAAGACCTTTTGATCAAGGATCTTGAAAAGTGGTAACAGGTAATGCATCAGACGCTAAAAATCCTGATAGCAGGGAGGGGTCAAAGTTTATTTCACACAGATCCCAACTCTGATAAAATTACACATTATGTATCACAGCTGCTCACACATCCAGCAAATTAATGTTGGACTTACTTGATGGAAACTAGAGAAGGTTGGGTTTTGTTTCAAAGATATCCAATGTTTCAATTGCCAAATACATTTTCAATGTCCTCTCCTCCAGATAAAATGAATGAAAGTCCCTCCTAAAAGATAAATTATTTTGACACAACTAACCATATTTTCCCCTTGGATTTTCTCACCAACCTACACTATATTGCACATCAGGCTGAACCAGTGGTGCTGTCTTGAAGAGAACCTCTAGTCAAAATCTGGATCTACTACTGGGAAGGTCAATCCCCAAGGGCCTTAAGCTCTGATAAGATATTCACAACAGGGACAAACTAACATATGCATCAGTAACTGACTCTGGGCTACTCCAGACTTTCAGTTTCAATAGCTGACGTTCCAATCCCTGATTAAGCCGCCCGCAGTAAACCATGGTCTTTTTTGGTTTGTTACTTTTGGGTAGGTCCTCGTCAACTGTCAAAGTCAAGATCCTGAGCATAAAGTATGCAGGATGTTTGATTTATTTGTTGGGAATGGAAGTGTCAAGAGGTCTGTAATTATCCCATTCTTATGTAGCTTAGGAAAAAATTGGAAGTTTCCCACAGTACGCTATTTGAGTGATTAGTTCTCTGAGGAGATGGTAAAGAGTTATGTACGTTATGTGACTTGTGACTGTAAATCGACAAATTATCGAAAAACTTAACCTGCTTTGTTTACAGAACTGATTATATATCTTCAAATAAATCAACAACACAATTGACTATTTATTAAATTCAAAACAAACAGATGAATTTTCGCCAAAAAAAAATTGTGGCATTTATGGATAATGAAACTTCAGCAGTTTGATCAAATAAGATGAAAGGTTAAGAGCACAGAGGCAATATCAGATGTGCATAATTTACATGCAATCATCTATGTGAGGGATGTTTTCAGCGATACTTTTAAAAACAGTTTTGCAGATTTTAAATTCAAAATCTCATCATAAGATAAAGCAGTGTTACATGAGTCTGTAACACTAAAGAATGCAATGGTAAAACTGTTTCAGGGTAAGTTTCTTGCTTGAGGACTTCTGTCCCTAATTGAATTTTGTGAGTCGATAAGAGCAATGGAGCCATCCACACTATCACGTCTCACATCAAGTCATCATTGATTGGAAATATTAGACAAACAACCTTCAGGATGTGCCGCCCTTATGTGCAGAGTACACTCTCTTCATCACACTAGGGCAAACTATCACTCATCTTCAACTTCTCAAGATGTATTTATATCAGGCAGAATATTCCAGAGACTTATTCAATCCAATTCTTGGGTGAGCTCCGAAAACAAACCTAAAGGCATTCCTTGCCAAGAGCAGATGCCTGACATACCAGCAAGCTTTGGATCTGAACTTCAGAGTCTGCCTGGGACCAAGCCGAGGGTCACCCATGTGATATACTGCCACATAGTTGTCTAAAAATATGACTTAGGAGAAAAACTGGACAAAGTTCCCCATGTATCATTTTGGTTTACTTGCCTGTGACTTCAGCCACATTTCTTATCGAATTCCTGGTTGAAATTTAATTTCAATTTCAACTTCTGATCAAAATTCTGAAGTTAGAAAATTGTTAGTTCTTGCTATATTTACAAGGTAAAATGGCAAATTTAAATAAAAACATGTTCCAAAAAGTTGATTGTAATCCTTTTTAATTTGCATTCTTAACTCTTCGATACCTGCTCAGTTTGGGCAAAGAGTAAAAATTGGCAGTAGATAGCAAATAACAGATGATGGATTCTTGCATAAGGTTGAACTTTACAAACATAATACCATCTGTTCTGCTCATTTGGACTTCACTGGCATTCAACAATCACAAATGCACCACTTGCCTCTGACCAGAAGTGGACCAGTCACGCACAAATGCAATACTACTGACTTAAATGTCTACAGCTGTTCCCAACAGACAAGGATTAACAACCTCACAACAACATTCTCTCCCAAAATAGTAATCAGAAAAATTCACCAGATCTTTACAGCATAAAATGAAAACTGAAAAAGGTAACATCTTTTCATCACAATTCTCCCATTGCAAGGGTTCAACCTGATTTTCTGAGAAATGGTTTCTGCCCTTGAGCTGTTAAATCATTTTCCCAGAAAATCTCTTTCAAAATAATCAGTCTTTTTCTGCAAAATACGTCAACATTAAGTGGAAAGTGAGGATTGAATCACCCATCTGGTAAATAATGTGAAGGAAAGATGTATTGTGTCAACAGCTTGCCTGAAGCCAGCAATCATGCTAGGTTTGTTGAAAATACATTTTAGGAACAGAATGTGAGAAATCTACCTGTAAGCAAACAAAACAGAAAATCTGCAAACTAAAACTGTTTTTTAAGGCACAACTCATGTACAAGGTGCTTACTGTGAGTTACATTTTTCTCCACATTTAGAGATTGGAGATGCTGATTGCAACACAAACAGCGCCCTCTGCAGTTATGCACAGATCTGTATAGCATTAATAACACTTACTTAACCCTCACTATCCAGTTAACCCTGAGTACCTTATCTCTAATTATCCTCATTAACCCTGATTCTATTTCCAGTTACTTCACAGGAAGCATTTAAGACTAATCTGTTGAATATGAGAGTTAATTAATGTTGTTAGGCCTGTTAAATTCTATCAGCAGAAAAGTTACATTTACAAGATTTCACTTAGCCAATGACCGACTACTGAAGTTAAAATGAAGTTGAAGTAAGATGTACTTTTCTCCCAACTTTAAGGTATATTTAAAGAGACTGTGCTTGGCTACGTCTTTGAACCTAGAAGATAGCCAGTTGTTACGGCTAACCAATGGCTAACAATTGCTACCTGAGCTGAACACTGCTACCTACATGTACATGCGAGTCACTGCGCATGCAAGGCAGCCCAGTCGAACAAGCAAATTCACTGTTCAGCGACACTACAAAGTGCAGACCATACTAAAGGGACTGATGACCAGGCGGTTTCATTTTGGGGCCAAAACTGAATTTTAAGGGCTCTACCCATAATGTAAATACTGGACAAAATCTAAAGAAACAGACAAATAATGATATTTTGAGTTTGATGTTACTTGGATTCTGCAAGTTTGATAGAAATCCAGGGGCAATATTCCTTGATTTTGTTTCAGGCCAAAAAAAAGGAAAGAGACCCACATCCAGCCATCATGTACTTGCCACACATAGCAGCTTCCATCTTACCTAGGCTTTCCATTTGAGACAAGTACATTCAGCTTGAAAAATATGAAATTGTCTCAGGACAACTTGATTCAAGTGATTTGTGTAGCTTGGTCATGCTTGTAATAACTTAAGAATTGTAATGGCCGGATCCTGAACTCTTTCCACGTTCTGACTCTCATACTTACTGCAAGTTGTTTCAGCATATCGTTGTGTTGTTGCCTCAACTGCAATGCTTCTTCCAGTGTGGTTCCAACATCTGTCATCTTTGGGGTCATCTCTTCTACTTTGACACGAATCCATTCTGTGGACTACAACCAAAAAAACATTGCAAAATCACTTTTTGTTCTTTAATACATGTACAAGTTTAAAATAAATCTGGCCGCTATAGACAGTCCGTTTTTTCCATGTTCCGAGTAAAATAATTACATTTATATATATTCGATAGTTGCTTAAATAGCAAAAGAAGATTAGAAGACTTGATAACAGAATGGCTAGCTCATGCCCACACTTTTCTCTGCAAGTTTGAAATGACAAGTCACAGAATCTCACTGATAGGTGGCTGAACAGTTTTCAGTTTGAGAACAGACAAGACATTCCTTGAACTGCAATTGAAAATAAAAGCTACAAGAGTACCAAGGCGACTGATTTCTAATAAATAAAAAAAATGCAGAATTCTGTGATGTACTGGTAGCATATTCCATTCTGAGACACAGAATATACCAAACTGAAGTGTTTCTATCATCTATTGACTATTTTGTAAGCTGGACGAGATGTAGCCTTTACCCATGGATACATTCTTGCTGTAATGGGTCAAGGCTGCTTCGGTTGATTGTCACTTTAAAAGGAGTGATGCTTAATTAAGACAAATATCTTAGAATAAAACCAAATATGTTGCCAACATGAAGTGCACACCTAATTTACATTGTTTTGTCCCAGCAAACCTTCAGGTTTTCTAAGGTATTAATGTCTTGCCATAGGCCTACATGAAGCCCATGCTGGTTTATCCCCAGCTTATCTTACAACAAAAACGGACTCTGGACATCTTTCAGCATAACATCCAAGCAATATGATGATCCCCAAGAATGTTGGCTGGAATACTGAATGGCACGCGCTACCTCATGATACCCTGCTGCTATCCCAACAGTGGGACGAGGCAGGGACCAATTTTAACTCTAACCCCACACTGGCAAAACAACGGCAAGTCATGACTGTGACCCAAAGGGGGTTAATGGGCTAATGGGCCATATCCTATAAAAAGGAACTTGGAAATAAAATAGGTCTCAGGTTTTTTATTGTAATTAGGATTTTCCAAGCCTCGGTAGACAAAAAGGCAACTTTCTAATGACAAAACAAACTTCCACAATTCACCTCAAAAGTTTTCAAAATTAAATAATTTGATGCCATTTACATGTATGTTGTGTCCAGAAGAGTTCAAGTCAAATTATTTAACTAAACTATAAACCTTAGAAATGTTGAATTAGTAACCTAGACAAGTTTCAGAGTATGCCAGTGTTTCGGCTGATTAAATCAGAACGAATCCCAACTGAGAGGCGGATTGCATTTTTGGAAGCATGCAAAATAAAAGAAATACATCATTCAAACTTTTCTCCCAGGTCAAGGGTGGCACCTTATGTTGAGTGTTCCCAGCCACGTAAAATCGTTTCAATCACTAGACATTATCCATCAATGTAACCACATGGGGCTACTCAACAACCAACTTCAATTAGGTTGCAGTGACATGGATTTTTGGATGTGTTGCTTGTGGGTCAAAACTTGAATTGGTTTCGTTACTTTCCCCTGGGACCCCGTCTCAGTCAGTGAAGAAACTGAACAGTCTATGAAGACCAGAAACTGGGTTAACTATCCATCGAAACAGTGCAAGGCGTATTTCAATCTGCAAATTTCTATACTGTAATTTGGTAAAAGAGCATTTGGAAAGAACAAGAACATATTGCAACAGTGTGTTGGTTGCCTATTTACCCAAGTTATTTGGCACAGCAGTAACAATCTAGCTGTGAAGAGGCATTTGTGAAACACTGCGCATTGCGAGTATCTGCAGTGTTATTGTAAAGTATTGTTTCAAGTATTGCCAGCCTAGTGCCCAATGTTATGCAAATTTGTAACCAAGTTTTGGCTTTCAATAAGTTTCAATAAGTCCTCTACTAATAAAATTTTGCTCAGGGGTCTTCTGCCATTGAGATAAATTACTCTATATTACATATACCTGTTCCCTAACTGCTAGAACTTCTCTCAAAATAACTTCTGAAGCTGAAGCAGTAAATGTGTGTCATTTCAAAGGGTAACTTTTATATCTATAGGCGCATGTGCATCTTATCAGTGTAAAATATTCACAATTACTTCAAACACAACAAGGCCTTACAAGGAAAAGAATTCGCTTGCAAGTAAGAACCCCGTTGAGCCAGAAGGTTGAAACTGGATCGGTGGTAGGCAGGGGAAAAAGAACAGAGAAATCCATTGCCAGAAGACAAGTGGGAAAATGAAGAAACTCTAGCTGAGGATGATTTGGATACAAGGAGAGATCCTGGGGGAGACAGCCATGGGGGATCTCAGAACACAAGAAGGATTTAAGGCCAGCTTCTTAGGTTGGGGTCAGTGAACCAGATGAAGAATTGCAACCCTGGGTCTTATGGGTGATATCCAATCTCTACAACGGTAAATATGTGTATGAAGTGCTTCTCGTTAGCAAAACAGATGTTAGATAAAATTGCTCTGAACTTTCTTGCACTATGAACGTGTACACAGTCAAAAAGTAAACATTTGTAAAGCATTACGAAATCTGCTGCATGAAGATACAATCTCAAAGTCTCATTAGGTGTGTACTGCATATTTCTCTATCGGTTTTGCTTGTCTGTTCAGGGGTTTCAATCATATAAAATTATGTATCAGACTACTTTAATTAACATTACTTTAATGATAAATTTAAACAACAAAGTCAAGCTCCCTGTAATCAAGTCAATATTTTTTCTCGATAATAAACTGTAATTTCAACATTTAGTAAAATGCTAAGGGGGCAGATAAAAGTCCTCAGCATGATAAACAAGGTGATAAAGTGAACAAGCTCAAGCTGTGACATAAAACATATGATTGATAACCTTGAGGTTCATGTACTTCGAAAACTTAAAACCTTATATCCAAAGATAGTCCTCTCAACCTTTTGCAAAAGGTGAGCCCAATCACTTCTTCCTTGACAAATCATATCCTTTCTCAGATGCATCGTAACATAATCTTTAATTTAAAAAAATGCTGATAACTTGTCAAGAATATTCTGACCCAAGGGTACATGTAATTCGTGTCTTTATCTACCAAAGATGCTCAGTGACGAAAAAACTGCTTTGAAGAAAAGAATCATAGCTCTACATAGCATCCTAAATTTCATAACTGTAGATTTCTCACCGATAAACTACAGCACAAATTCCCAATATCCTCTCGACAAATGAGGTACTCAAGAAGGATAATTTTAGACCAATCATCCCGTCCAATTGCTTTGAGCAAGATACAGCCTCCGCTGTTCAACAATTCCAGATGGTTCAACTAAACACTCATTTGACAACAAGCTTTGCAACATCCAAGTACTATACCTGTGGTTTGTTGTACTGTTGTGATCGAAGCATATTTTGACCTCATATAACTTTTTTCTTGCAAACATTTGTTAGAACACAGCTGAGCACAAATTGTCAATGCACCCAGTATAATGTACAAAAACATACCCGTATATAGAAATGAAAGATTTTCTGATCATGATTTTTTTTTTGTAATTGTCAAACCTAAATGCAGAGGAGGATTTGGGACTGTTAGGGTTAACCCTAACAGTCCCAAATCCTCCAATTTCAATACAATTTTACATATACCCTAGGGGGTTAGGCTCAATACAGAATGTAGTAAGGCTGTGCTCACACATATACTTGAGCAATAAATCCAGTGAGTACAAGTAATATCAACAACTTGTCACGGTGGTATTCAGCTATCTACATGTAGCATATGAATTAATGTTTAGTAGGCCTATGTTCCTGCCTTAAGGTCTGCTATTCTCCAACCATACCCCTGACAAAACTGCACTAGCATGTGTATGTTTGTTTCCAGCCTGGACTTGTATTTCGTCAGTGCACCAGCACAGGTGTGAGTTACTCTACATGTAAATGTACCTGCAAAAACCAATACAGGTGAGGTATGTGGTATTTGAGGTACTCTACATGTTACATGTAAATGTATATGTACATTAGGGAACGTTTCATAATTACAGAAGGCGGTATTTACTGTCGTACTGCTGTATTTTTGCGGTACCAGCATTAAGCCCTTTCGGGTAAATAGTACCGCAGTAAATACCGCCTTCAACAATTATGAAACGCTCCCTTACAGTGATGAACAGAAAGGGTCAAGGGACATGACCTAACATGGTCAACTCTGAACTATGGACATGTACCTAAGCAAACTGACTGACCTCGACCTTGGACTACTATAGTAAATGTTGTTCTTCATCCCTCACTTGTAGACATACATCATGGATTTGATTTAAGGGTGTGTTATTACAGACGGACAGATGACTCTGTTGTAATGCATGTACACGGGGTTACGCAATGAGTGTGGCAGACCAAAAAAAATCCCTGTTCTCTACAAGAAAGGCATTTTCTCCTTTTATGATGTAATTACTAACTCAAGAAAGAACATGCACAACACCTTTTCAGCATGAACCTTAACTTTTAACTCTTGAGCAATGTTGCATATCAACAGAACGAGGCACAGTGCATGATCCATTGACTTGTCTTGTTTATTATCATTTTGGATAAGTCTCCAATCACATTCCACAGATACCACATTATGGGAATTTTATTACAGATAGGTATAGATACAATGATTGATGTGTGAAGTCTGGTTATGTTCCGGCTCTGGTGCAAAAATAAACAATAAATGCTCATTTTGCAGTTTCCAAACTGAATCACGGCCAGAAAACCCAGAATTTCAATAAATAATGAGAAAATAATTACACTTCATATGATGGTGTTTCATAAACGATAATGTTTCACTAATGATACTTTATTTTATTTGTTTCATTTTAGTTATAATTTTCTTAATTTTTGGTTTATTGTGTGCTGGTCTTTTCATAGTAATTTTAGTAACTATTTTTAACTATGTAATGCACTTTTGAACAGGTGTGTCCTGGAGAAAACGCAATATAAATTTAATTACGTGTATTATTATTAAACTGTTCGACAGTTTTTGAGGGAGTACAACAATGTTTAACACCATCAATAAATATACTTAGATAATAAGATGCATTGCGATCTGTAGATACTTCTAATTACTGTACATGAAACTTAAACGCAGAAGTATTACAATACAACCACATGCGTGCATGTCATAGTCACCTGCACTGATATGTTTAATTTACTTTCAATTTGCCGTTATCTTTAAAAATGAAGACTTACTCTTAACACAGCAAGTACAATGCGATTATCTCCAGATTGCACAGCAACCGTGCTCACAGCAGTCACTGGTAACTTTGTTGCCATGTTTAAATATATCTTCCTTCAACCGCGAAGAAAAAATCCAATCCTCACCGTCCAGGCAAATATACAGTATTAGAGCATCAAGACGCCATATCTACAACTGAGGGAATTGGGGCGCAGGGGGACGTAATCAAGGGGAAGTCAGATTTACGATGATGGGACTACCCACTGGGCTCGGGCTCAAAGCTCACTCTGAGAAGTTGCTTGCTGGGAAACTTGCTGGGCCGAGCTAAGCAACGGCACACGCCAGTCAAGCTGCCCTCCTAGTGGGGAGGCCAAGCCATATTTAGCTAGACCAGTGCTGTGCTGTCCCTGATTGGCTGATGGAGTGGGGGGAGGGATGATACAGCTCGGTGTTGATGTGATGGTACAAACACAAGCACAGTGTGGTACACCAATACAGCAAGGATGGAGCTCTCCTAGATTTGCACAAGTTGAAGGTGTTCCATTTTCACTCTCTGTGCTCTTGTTTCATGACTTGCTATAGCTATACTCCTTGGCAGGCCCACAGCAGATTGTTAAGTCTCTCTGCAAAGCACCAGCTTGCCAATTTTCAGTTTGTTGGGCTGTGTTTGCCAATTGACTCTGGTGTCAATGGCGGGACCAACCATTATTCATGAAGGGTGGATAGGCATGAAAAGAGCTAAAGAGTTGGGTTTCTCTGGAATGTTTATTAATAAGATGGCCTGGCTGAGGCCAAACATTTGGACTTCAGGTAATAATTCTGAAGCCTTTGTATTTACCGTTTGACATCCCGTATCACAAGAAAAAAGAGCATTGCACAAGGAGGAATTCCTTGACAATATAAAAATACAAAAGAATTCAACCAGTTCGATACAAGAAAAATATTCCAAAATAAAGCAATGGGCTGATTAGTTGGCAAAGAGGAAGATTTACTTATTGAGAAGTCTCAAATTCCATTAAGTTACGTAACCCCGACATCCTGGAATTCTAATGAAACACAGGATGTGTCCTTCATGAGGAAATTTCCACTGGAAATGAAAAAAGTTGACTGATCTATTAAGAATCTAAGAATCTTAGATGGTTCTACTTACTCATAAATCACTTAAGATCTTAAATCCTAATGATACGCTATTTCTGCAAAAGTCTTTTAACAGATTTACAATCCATTTACTCCAATATCAACTGCAGGGCACCACTTGATGTGGATGTCGATTGGTTCTAAAAAACTTGTGCAGTTGATTGGAATAGCGCCACCAACTGTCAGTATTTGATCAAATGTATGTTGAAGAGGAGGGAATTTTTTTTGTAGGAACAGTTTTATCTTGAAACCTGAAATCTTGGATCACGTTCTCTGAACTGACTCCATCAGTGTAGACCTGCTCCAACATACAACACAAGAGACCATACTGGTTTACATGTACATGTAATATAGATGTCATGCTGATTAGGAGATTAAACAAACCGCTCTGGTGAAAGCAGTCGGTAATATTGACCCAAAAGATTTGCAAGGGGCCTTCTATTGAAGCACTCAAGCTTATTACATAGTATTGTCACATGCACAAATAGACATGTGCATTCCACATGTACATGTATGTGTGCACTCATGTGTTTGACTGGAGCAGTTCATTCAAACAATGTACAAATGAGCAGGATCTTTAATGTTGTGTTCACCAGAAGAGAAATCTGAATGACTATTTTCCAAAGGCATACATACACACATCTAACCATAACAAATGGCCAAGCAGCATTATTTTATGCGGCAGGGCATGCAGCCACTTTGTACAGTAGATAATGTAACAGCCCGTTCCACCTGATCCACCTTTTGCCAAATTGCCGGATCAGATCCCCCAATTGGTGGATCAGATCCCCCAATTGTGTGTAGTGGGAATGCTAACAGTTATAAGGTGGATCAGGATCAGATCCACCTTTCTTGATCCTCCTCTGGAGCAGGATACAGATCCCCCAATTGGTAGATCAGATCCTGCAATTGGCAGATCACGATCAGATGGGAACGCAAAAGGTGGATCTGATCCGGCAATTTGACCTGCCTACATCCGTCCAGTGGCGCAAAACTTTTACGGTCGGATGAACAAAGAAATACGTTTTTTGGCGTGTAGCTCATGTGAAATTTTTAACATGCCGCAATGTGTACCTTGCCCTTTCACAATTTTCATTGCGCATTCGTCCATTTCTCAAATTTTTCATTTGTGTAATTTCACTTGCTTTCCATCAAAAACTAATTCCATGTTAGCGTATAGCCCGCAGCGTGTGACAGAATATCAAAAATGGAAGCAAAGTTTGAAGAGACAACGTACTAGGCTGAACATTCGGTCCGATTCAAGGTCGTCACGTCAGTAGAACCATGTTTTATTCCTCCATGGTAGAACTCCGCACCCAAAACACCGCAAGGTCACACACATGCCGCCCCTGCATGCCACACTGCCACAGAGCGCGTGCTCAGCAAGCTAGCACATGCCCAATACCGAACTCAGTGACCTTTGGGCTCAACATTACCATCTGACAGGTGGATCAAGTGCCAGTGGGAACGCGACTTGCGGTTTCATTGCGGTAAGATAGCGATTACACCAACATGCTGGGTTATTCAGATCCACCTTTTCCCAATTCAAGTGGGAATGCGCTGTAATAGTAGAATGTGTGGACAGATTAGCGACAAATACAAGATCCACGTCCAGCAAGAAAAATCTAGACCTACTGTAACCACTAATACCTGTTCCAACCATCTCACAAGGCATGCCTACATTAAACATGAATCTTTCAGTGACAGGGCCAAAATGGAGAATTACTACAAACCAAACCAAATGATGCTCTACACCAAAAAATTGTTATGCAATTCCTTATTCCATTAAATCCCTTTGAATACTCAACAAATTACTCACATGCACATGTAAAAGAGCACTGACTTATTAAACTTTTTTCCAGATTTGGACAAAATCATCTTGTCAGTTTTGAGGCCATTATGCTTCACAGATGAACATGATGATCGGCTCCAATGTCGTAGTTGAGACTCCTTCAAACCTTTACAAGAACCCATATAAACATCACAAGACCGAAACAAGACCTAATGTCTGGATTCATAATAAAAGTGAACTGCAACATCAGCACTTCTTGGTCACTGTCATGAGTGGTCTTGAGACTGGTCTTGCAATGGTCATCGCCAACACTGATTGGCTTTGTATTGACAGGGTGCTCAACTTACAATGGAGATTATGCTGTGTTTAGTGCTGTACTATACTCCGAGTCATTTCATTGCTCAACTCTCACAGAAAAATCCCCTTGTTAACTTAATCTCGACTGCCGTCAATAGCAAAATAATGTCATCTCATGTTCCTGCTAGGAGTCTATAGACAGAGCTTTTGTCACTTACCTCATGTACTAAGGCTTCAAATTCCTCAAGCTTTTTCATCGCTTCATCTTCTGCTGTATCCTTCCTCTGTAGCTGTGGTGCAGACGACTGACTACTGACTCTTTCAGTGGGGGAAGGAGACATCCTACCGTTAGGTGGTGGTGGCTGGAATGCAGGAGAGGCTGTCTGAACCTGGCTGACAGCCACTGGGCGGATGGGTTCGTCCACAGCACCTGGGTGAGCAGTTGCCCTGACAGGTGGGGCTATTCTTGCACTGGGTGAAGCAGAACGGTCATGAGGAGAGGTCATGCGATTGTTGGGGGAAGACATGCGATCGTGAGGGGAAGACACTCGATTGTGGGGGGAAGACAAGCTATCATGGGGTGAGGTCATCCTTTGAGGAGACCTGTCTGAAGCACCTGGGTGTTGTCCGTAGGGTCTACTTGGGGATGTATCCATCCTGTCCAGTCCCGGACCCATCCGTCCGTTACTCTGAGGCATTCTTCCAGTAAGAGAGGCAACTCGTCTGGGATCCAGTCTCTCAGACGATGGCACTCTCCTGCTCGGTGACATCTGGCTGCCTTCCTGTCGTGTCCGAGTCACCGGTTCCATCACATCTTCCCTTTGAGTGACCTCCTGCCAATCAGGGATGGACCGATAAGATCCAGACCGCTGCCACTCGGGTGAGCTGACTGGAAGCCCCCAGATTTTGTCCATCTCTCGTTTTTTGGCCTCTAGCTCAGACAATTTCTGACGGATGTTGTTGACCTGTGGTTGCAGCTCATCAGGAAAACTGGAGCTAGGAGACCGAACAGTTCTGGTACAAAAAAAAGGAAAAACCAGAAGAAAAGTGTATAAACATTTTCTTGAATTTGCATTAACTGCTTTTCTTAAAATTTTTCAATTAACCATCCTACGATTTCAACAACCTAATGCCATAAAAAAATCCATTCCCTTTAACACATCTGCAGTGAAATCATATAAAAGTGAGACCTTTGGTCTTTTTAAAAATAAATCCTTTCAGGTTCATGATAAACAGTAGAATTACATCTTTCAGGACTTCAGTGAGATGGGGCACTGTGTTCATCAACACTTACAATTCCTGATGATTTTAATTCCAAAATCCCTGCTCAATGAAATGCAACTTAGCAAAAGCATATAAAGATGACTCCAGATTCATTTAAAGGATGCTGTGCAAACATGCGGTGCAAAAAGCTACAAAGTGCAGAAAAGATTTGCATAGAAGCCATTGTTACCTGTCGAATACAAGTAAGGAAAAAAAAAAGCTTATGATATGACGCTGAAGGCAGCAATTTCTTCATTTGTTCACAAATTCAAACCTTGGGAAAAGGCTTAAGGAAGGACCTGTGACTGCCTGCTATTTTGCAGAGTCTCAGTATATTAATTGTAAACTCGATGACATTGGCTCCAGTTTTTGCCCTTACCTGTCAGGTGAGAGAACAGGCAGTACCATGCGATCCAGCAAAGCTTTGCCCATGGCCATGGTATCTCCGTACTCCCTCAACAATGAGTCACGTCGTGGGCTGTAAGCGTTTAGAAGTCTGCGGCTGGTGTGAGGGTCAGAGGAGGTGATCTGGGGAGCAAGCTCCAGGCAAATCCTGTCCATCTGATCAACCAACTGTGAAGAAGAAGCCAATCAGCTCATGATTTGTGGAAGAGCATTTTAGCTTTATGTGATTCAGCTTGAGCCTAATTCTTACAGGCAATTAAGATTCCAATAATTGATAAGATAATGTCTATCTTTTATGGAATGGTCAATGTTAACAGCATGGACTCTAAGAGTATCAACCTTATGCTGGGTTTGGATAATGCAACTTATTACTACTCCATGAGTCATGTGAAAGTAAATTGGGCCATATTACCACATACCTATTTCTCACTACCATTATCATTCATGAATTGTGTCTAATTAACCACATGAAGTGAAAAACACCCATTTCTTAACTTTTGTAAGAAAGAATTTGAGCAAATGTATGTGCTTTCCGTTCATACTTCATTCAGTGAAGATATCGTGGTGATTATGACTTTCTTAAAGCTTACCCTCTCAGCATTTCGCTGGAACATGTGCGACACCGACAGCCTGGAAGCCCTCTCTCCAAGACCTTGTGAGAACCTCCTCCAGGCTCTCTCCAGGATTTGGGCTTTCTCGTGGTTGGGTTCAGGGTCAAAACGGAGGGATCGTCTCAGCACGAGGGCAGCACTCAGAAGTTCCTTGCCATAGTTGTATGTGCCCTGAGCACAAGACAAGAAGAAAACGAGACGAGTTTATTTAACGAAGAAGAGGACTAGAGAATGTCCCAATACTTGTGCCTTACAAAAGGCTGCACTACTCGTCTCTTCTTATCAGGATGCAAGGAGAGAGAGGGTTCCAAATTCCCTTTTTCTACAGAAATACTCACTTTGGATAAACCTGTTTTTGAAACACATCCCATCCATATGATATATTTGGGGAAACAATAGCATGGAATCTGGACCTGAAGCAATGGCAACTTGCAAATATAAATTCTTTAGAAAGAACTAACACTTACCCTGGCGGTGTCTTCAAATTTGTTGTGTTCCTTACGCAGGTTTTCAGCTTCTGCTGCTGAGCGGCCAATGTCGATATGCTGTGAAAGCATCACCTGCAGCAATTCCTGCAGCCACTCTATGGCCTACAGCAAGACAAAATGATCAGGGGGTTGGATTGACATTACCACCACTGGAAGTGACAGTGCCTACAGATCAGCATTGCCACTGTCAACAAACTGTAAATGAAATTTACCTGTTAGAAATACTGAAACAACAACACGTGCATGTGACTGCGTAAATCTAGAGTTTTCTAGGTTTTTATAGGCAGATATTGGGGTTTTCTGAAATCAGCAAGTCGCCACACTGATACGAACTCCACATACCAAAGTGACAGCACTTGATTACCTCAAACCGTATCATCAGGTAAGTACATGACACACATTGAGTGGATTGAGTGTCTACGGCAATGAGTGCTGGCAAATTTCGTACGAATGTGCACAAATCCCTGGGGTCTCCAAATGGAGTCTTTGCTGGGTGAACAGCATGAATGCCATTCAACTGTCGACCTTCTCTTTTGAAGGAGATCGTGTACAAAGAAAGCACGATTTGATATGATGTTTATCAAACTCAAACAACCCCCTCCCACCCACCTGATCAGCGTCCCTTTCGCATGTCCTGAGCTGTAAGATCTGCTGCAGCTTGAGTTTCCTCATGTCGGACATCTCATCGCATCGTGCCTTGCGCCCCTCCAGTTCAGCCAGGAGTTCATCGACATGGTCCTTCTGCTTGGTGTAGTTGGGCGTGATGTCCTTGCCAAAGGCGTTCTTGACCAGAAGAGACATCATGCTCAGGAGGGAGTGACCTTCCTCCTTACTTCCCTCTGCTGCAAAGGCTTCGGACGACAAAATATTTAAAAAAAAAGACTTGCAGTATTTCTGAATAATGCAAAACCAAACTACTCGTAAAAAACACTGAACAGTTTTTGAACCCAAAACAATGCAGGAAGGAAAATCATGGTATCATTCACATAAATATGACATTTAATATAAAGTACACAATCATGGGAAACAACTTCTTGCAATAGCTAACTGGACTTACCCACTGCCTCACATTGCTCTGTCAGTTCTCTCAAGGCAATCTCAACCATCTCGACTGTCTCAATGGATATTTCAGTCACACACAGCTCTAGAAGAATGTCCATCTTACCAAAGCACTAGTTCAAAACACAATAACCGTAAAACAAGGTTAAATAATTTATATCTGTAATCTGTAGTTTTACTGATTAAAATGTGCCTGGTGATATGACAAGACTTGGGTGTAATTGAAGTACAAAATGGTCACCAACTGTGAGGTGAATATGCAGCCATTCACTAATGTATGTAGTTCATCACAAGTGTTATCATAAATCAGGTCACAAGTATCGAGGTAAATTGGGATGAATAAGGAATAATAAAACTCAAACAAAAAGTGTAAGACTTAATTGAAAGTTGATGTGTGACTAACTTGTCACCAGATTACAACTCCACCTTAAGCCTTCCCAATTAACCCAAATCTGACACAGCTTTCTTTTGCCTTCTTTCAGTAGCTTCCACACTTTATGGTCTTCCAGCTTGCTGTAAAGAATGAGTGTGCCAATCAGCCAGTTTAACAGCACATACTCAAAATGAAGCACGTTAAAGGTCGTTTAAGAACATCAATCAGCAACAGAAGGTCAGCCGTGTCAGCGCAGCCTACATCAACTCACATGCACTAAATGTTTCTCAGCTGGTGTGATGTAAGGTACTCTGTTCCCGATTGGCCTTGCTGGTCTGAAAGACCCAACTGACTCATTCCATCTGAGCCCAATAAATGTGCCACAGGAATGTGCACTGGGTTGAATTTTGGCAGATTCAGAGAGGCTTTTAAGGGGTTAGGGTTGAAGGTATACCTCTTCTGCCAGACGATGGAAGCGTACAGAGCAGATCAACAGGTTCCTTCTTTTCTCCAGTCTGGAGGCATAACTCCGGCAGACAGTTTCCATGAATTCTTTCTGGGCACTGATGTCATCAGCCCTGGGGTGACCCTGCTTGATCATGCTGTCTGCTACATGTCTCAACTCAGCAAAGTTGCCGTAGGTGTCCTAATCGAGAAGAACAATGGCTGTTATGTTTCTTATCAAATGGTCTGTTAACTGCGAAAATAACAGACAAAAAGTGTACTGAAGACAATTCCATCTCCTGAAGATAATATTTGGAGTATTATTTTCTTGACCCTGCGGCCAATCTTGACCGTTTCTTGAACAAGGGCCAATCAAATGAGTACTGGAACTTCAACAATTACACAAGTACAAGGCCCAAAACATTTCACAAGCTGATTCTCCAAATATAATCAAGATGGCTTCAAAAACCTGTAACTGTAAAGATCAAACACTTTCGTGTTCTGAGCCATTAATAATGAGGTTCATGAAATGACTCTTTGGGCAACAGCAATACTGGCAACTCACAATGCAGTGTGCCATCTAGAGGTTGCCACAGAGAGGCCTTTTCTCAGTGCTTGTGGGATAAATAGTCAACAAAGTCTCATTCACTAACTGCGCTGCGCGTGGAAAACTTGAATATTTCCAAATGTTTGTTCATCTTGGTTGAAAATTCAAAATTGCTTATTGCAAGTGGGTGTTAGGTAGTCCAAATGATGGTTTTGTGTTGTGCAGGGAACTCCTCAATCAATCAAATATCCCCAATTATGTGTCAACCACAAACTTGAAAAGTGGCCTATCTGCAGCAAACTCTAGGTGATGCGCTGTATTGTGAATCGCCCGTATTAAAGCCGCATTGCAATTAATCCGTTCATTTCTTAGAAAAGCTTCCACGGGAACCTGACTGTTGGCGGACTTTCTCTTGACTCACAGTGCATTTCAGTTCCAGTTTTTCATGCTCCCTCCTGAGTTGATCAGCAGCGGCCAGCGAGTCCCCAATGTCAACCTGTGATGCCAAGAGCTTCTCACCGGGACCAACAATCCAATCAACCACCTGAACAAGAAAACAGTCATCACACACATAAAGTTAACTCACTTCTGCTACATAAATATCCCCCCCCCCAAAAAAAAAGGTTCTGGAAGTTGACTTAATAGGCATATGGCGTTGAGTTAAAAGATCCTGAAATAATAGAACCATTTAGTAAGGAAAAATAATTATGTTGGACCTCTTCCTGCTTTTAAAATGTGTTTTTCAGGACATTCTTGTGGGTAAGCAACTTGCACCAGTCTAATCTTTATAAACCCTAAACAGTCCTGAATACTACAAAGTACTATTTAGTGTAAAATGTAGTATTCCACACTGTCGCTTGTAAGAGGATATAATCTTATTGGTCACTGAAGCCATAAAATATAATAGATAAGAGAATGGACCATACTGTGCTCTGGCACTATGAATGCACAACTTTATTGTTCTCTGTACGAGTAACAATGGAGGGTGCCCTAGCCAGAAGTGGTAATTTGTAGCGCTAGGTCCTTCAGGCTCAGGCTACTACTTGGTATTTTGTAGTAGTGAGTATTGCAAGCCAAATTGTATGCAGAACTGTTAGAGTTAACAAGATTTTAACACTGGGATTTTACATCTCATTTGGTTTGACGATTTAGAAGGGCCACTGGTATTACACTTGTCAAAATATTTTAGGGGGTAAAAAATTTAAGTCAAAAGAAATCTCTCATTTTAACCTCAATACCTGAAACCTAACTATGTCAAAGTTCCTTGATCTTCCCCTTTACCTTCTTAATTCCTGTCTCCAGGTCACTCAGGTCCATGTTTACCCCCAGCTCTCTGTCCTTCTCACTCAGGTAGATCTTCAGCTTGCTCTGCCTCTCCTGGAGCTCCTCCAAGACTTGCTCCAGCTGGCCCTTGAGTCTGACCTGGTCCTCCGTCAGACCTTCGTTGGAGTTGCGCCGGAAACCAGACTCACTGTCCTCCTTGATACGTCTCAATAATGCATGTCCTGAAGATGGAATTATTCACAAGATTCTTCCAAATCTCAGAACAACAGTTTGCGGAATAAGTTAACCCTAATCTACCAGTGCTGTATGAAATCAACAATCATAAAGAGTGGATAGGAATAAATATTAAAACAATGCTGAGTATTTCATCTCAAGCTCAAGAATACACAGCTGCACCCTTTCAAGAGACACAGTGTATCATTTTTCTTGTTGCACCGTTTCGCATTGTGCCTGCATTGCTCATTTGACTTACACTCTGGCCATCCGATGCAAAGACTTGTGGCCGAGTGGTTAGGACATTGCACTGGTACTTAGTACAGAGTACAAAATGTTTATGAATACAGGTCAGTGAAGGGCAAAATACCCCATATGAAATCAAAATAAACCTTTAATACAAACTCTGTGAACAGAAAATACTAGAAAGGATGCCATCACATAGATATATCCATGCATACAAGTATCTTCAATGAACTAGACCATCACAAGTTGACTAGTAACCCTTCTCGAACCTACCAAGTTGCAAGACACTGCTAGGCTGGTTGATGACCACCTCGCGAAGCCTTCTCTGCCTTCTCAGGAGATCTTCTGGAGTCAGCTGCTCATCTCGTCGTCTGTACAGTACTTCCTCATCTGCCTGGTCAAAACGATGCTGAACCACCTCTGAATCCTTCAAGAATTTCTCAAAGTCCTGCAGAAACAATAAGATATGGAAATGGAAATTGATCACAACATCGCAACAACTTCTTGGAATGAAGTTACAGATTCAAAGATAAAGTCTCTATACATATTCTACAAAATTTGAAAGAGTTTTGTTGACAGTTTCTGAATACCTAAAGATCAATTAATGAAGGAAAAAATTGTCTGTTCCAAGGCGATTTTAAGGAATGCACTTCAAGCTCACAGTACATGTACTTACAATTCTGTTCTGAACCCACTCGTTATGGTTGTATGGCAAAGTTCCACCAAAGTCTTCAGTGAGTTCTCTAGCATCAATAAACTTTGTCAGCTTGGAGACATTGGATAACATCAGAGTCTGTGAAAAAAAAACAAATGAGATAAAAAAGCCAGAGGCATTTGTTACATGCAAACCTACAGGAAGACTTAAAAGGAATTACAACTGTTGGTTTTGATTCTGTACAATCTCCCCAGGCAAAGTTGCGACCTGAGGACTGTGATCCAGCTGATAACATTCCACAGGCTTAGGCTTAGTCTGCTTACCTCAAACCCATACTGAGGCTTGTCTTTCTTCAGGCTGAGGCTAGCCCGCTTGCTCTCCCAGAAAGCATCTGGTTTGATCACGTACACAGAGTGTATCCCACTGGGTATGGATTCCTAACAAAAAAATCAAACACAAAAGTCAAAAATGGAATCTGTTAACTTCTGTCAAATCACCTGATATGTTAGGTTACAGCTGGGACTTTTTCTTTTAAAAGATTTTATTGCCTGCTTAAAATTATGAGTTTGATACACTTATGTAGCCTCTTCTTGTAATGCTTCAAAGATATTTAAGTTTAATCTATGTACAAGCTATCATCCAGCTTTGCTTCAATGGACGGGTATCATTTTACCAATTAAACACTGCAGTTTCGGCAGCTGTATGAGATAAATCCTAGACATGTTCATCAATGCTAACCAAGATGAAATGGTTAAGTAACAGTAGAATAACCAGTTCTCTATGAATCTGAATTGTTCTGACCAAACTTACCAAATTTGCACAAAAAATCCAAGTTCGAATCAGGTGATTTTATTGCTGTGCCTCCTGGTATTCCACATTAATGCTCTTTGACAGATTATATCATTCACTCATGCTATGCATTCATAACAACATCATGCATGTTATGGCAAGGCACAGTCTCATTTCTGACCTTGTGGCAAAACCACACGAGCACAGGATCCATGGATAGAGAAACAGGAAGTTGATATATGACAATAATCAGTTAATACATTAACTTGTTACCTGGAGCACTTTAAAGAAAGCTTTGAGAGACTGCCAGGTGGACGTTCGCATGTCAGCAATGATGCTGTAGCCATGGTCTTTTGCCTCCTCACTGAAATGAACACAAGAATTGCCATGGTAATTAATGGCTGATGCACTGAGGCATACTGTCTCTGATTGAGATGTGATAAGATCAAAATGCAGCAAAAAGGGAAGATAAGAATCCTTACCAGAAGAGAAATTATGCAAGGAGGCAAACTAAGGCAACCTGTAATATATGCTTCAAAATTTATAAAGTGGTGATTCATGGTCATATGTCATGAATTCTTCAAAATAAACAGGTTCAAACATGGGGAGATCCAGAAATAGTATGTATTCCTTATATATATTTAAAAAGTTCAAGTAACTTTTATTTCTCTATTCTAAATCAATCTTTCATATAAAATAATTTATAAGCTTAAAATTATTTTCATAATTATTCTAATCTAAGTTGCATAATATATGATTTTTGTTTCTAATGGCTTTTTCAAAAGACTGGAAATCAGATAAACCTGCAATGTCTATAATTTACTGAAATTGAAGAGCTCCACACTGTTTATTTAGGTTTGCCGCTTAAACCTGTGATTCTATCAAATTATTCCATTCAAAGGTGACCTTGCTGCAAACAGTGTGTGCCTGTCCAAGGCAATCACACTGATAAACAGAACAGTAAATTCCCAGGCGCGTTTTACTACTGTTGGTACTAAGCACAATAAAAATGCCACTTTGAAGCTGGTCCCCCATTGGGTAAAGAGGAAACTGGTATGGGAAGAAAAAACATGTACATTAAGAGTTCCTTGCTGGGTTAAGTCTTAAAATAACACAGTGGGGTGTCTTACTGGACTGGTATGTCAAAAGATAAAAAATGACGAGGACAAGGTGTTGTTAATGGCTCCATGTTGTTGTAACCATTAGAAAATACCAGTGTTGAAGAATACTGCAATTGTGAGGAACTCTTTTCAATGTGATGCAACCTCACAGCAAAACCAGTCAGAAAAGGTTGCAATCACCCCCACAGTGTCTTTTTATTATGCTACCAGTGTGATTGATACACAACACAAGCACAATAAGTAAAGACCTTCATAGACATTTCCTCTGTCTATCAACACCGAGCAAACAAGCATATTTTAGGCATGTTGTAAAGAGGAAGGTTTATCAAGTGATTTGGGTAGTGTTATTTGCTTATCAAGTGTAAAAAAGAACACATTAGCATTCTCAAACTTGTTTGAGTTCTGTTTAGCGCCCCCACAATAGGATGCGTATCATAAGTCCGACGCCCCATACATGTAGGTCCGACGCCTCAAAAGTCCGAATTTTCGGACTAATGAGGCGTCAGAGTAATGAGCCATTGGGTTTTGTGGGCAATTTTTTTTCCGATGCCTCCAAGGTCCAATGCCTCACAAATCCAACATCGGACCAATGAGGTGTCGGACTTATAACACAGGGCGTCAGTGCAATAGACTGTGGAACATGGAGGAGTGTCAGCCTGTGTGACACGACGCTGTGTGTCATAAATAGTACACCAAACTTGAAACCGGGAACCAGTCTTGTTCCTAGCTCCGTCTTCATATGCTCGTAACGAGCGTCAAATCAAACATCGGACTTTCGAGGCGTTGGATGTTTTGAGGCGTTGGCTCTATGCCATGGGCAAAAAAAATGGAACTTTTAAATGCATTTATCAGCCTTATGAGGCGTAAGACCTACGAGGCGTTGGAATTATGAGGCGTCGGATGACCCCCTCAATAGTTTGCTGACCAGTGATTGGGAAAAGAAGTGCCTGTGACATGTACAAGAAAGGCACTTTCCCTAATGTCAACCAGTCACAAATGGTACTCCTGCTTCCTATAAAGTTGACTTTTGTAGACCAAACTTGGGGCACCTGTTCACTGTGTACAAGTTACAACTGTGTATGGAGAAAGTATGTACACAATTTCATACATCACGAACAAGTATTTCAAAGCAAAAAACATTCTTGTGACTTCAAAAGATCACGTTACACCAGGCACTTATAAGCCAGGAATCAACTATGCCCATAGCAAACAGTCACAACAGAGACTAGCTGTGACAAACATGCCTTATTCCACGGAAAGATTTCACATTCCCAAGACATGCATGCAATGCTTTGACTGGGAACATGACCGTAAGCCAGATGTCAGCAATCTTTGATTGTGTCCCTAGCCTAGTCTAAAGCAGTCTGTGCTTTATGATTTGATGATAGAGTGAAAACAAATGCAGTCCATAAGATGGAACAGCAAGACAGAAATAAGTGAACAAGTTTTGGGCTGCGACTAGTTATAAATGTTTGATTTTAATTTTTTCCCATCAGTTATGAATTTTTCTGACTGGATCACATTTTCTCAAAGAAATCTACATTCACTTTAATAATCAACATTTCTGATTAACGGTTAGCTGTTATATTTACTTTTTCCACTTCCTAGGTTTTCCTTTTCCTTTTAAATTATGGTGCTCATATCATACATTTATTGGGAGGGAATGTCACATTTCATTTGTTTGTTTTCACAACTCCTTTAAAAAGAAACTTGTTGAATTTCCTCACCTTGGTATAGTGGCAAGATAAGACACACATGTGGCAATGTCTTCCAAAGAAACCTCGGAGGATTGGGTAGGAAAAGAAATGATGGGACCGCCTCTCTTGTCCTTGCCTCCTGTAATCATTGACAGACAGTCAACAATAAACACTGATAGTAGCGAAATATGGACTAACTACAGTATATCGGTGGGTGAAGACATTATGTCCATTGTCATACAAGTACAGGTATGCAAACAAAGCACTAAAATACAAATGATTGAACTTTTCTCTTCAATACAGCAACAGAAATATTTTTCTTCTGAACTTTAACTCCCACAGATTTTTTTTCCCTGCAGAGATCTTCATAGTGCAGGACACCAATGGTACATTCTTTTACTTTCAAGGGACATCATGTGACTGTAAAGTGATGGTGATCTGGTCTGCACTCTTCTTAATCTCGCAAAAACCTCACAAACCTCAAGATGGATTGTGAAGGATGTGAAAGTATTATTTTTGGGTTACTTTAGTATCAAAGTATACACAGATCTGCTAAAGAAGAATCAAATTTCTGTAAACTATGTTAGCGTGACTCCATTTTGCAGATTAAGAATTGTCATTTTCTTTCATGGATTACTGCTGGGAATTTTCAAACTGGCCAATGGCTTTGTACTTTTACAGTGTTTGCAAAAATTATTGCAGATCATTTCCGGACATCTAACCAATAATTTATCAATCTATCGAAAGAAAATTCCAACACAATTTCCTACGTCCAAAAAATTACTAGTTTAACAAATACTGCCATGAATGAAAAACTTAGTTTATATCAGTTTATATCAGTTAAGAAGTGTGACATGTGTACATAAATACCAGTATAATAATAACTAGTAGCAGTTAGTGAAGAAAAATGACCACCAACACCATGGATTCAGAAATGTAATAAAAAACCTAATTGATACTGGCATCTCCAGGTCATAAAACGAAACACCAAACACAGCAAACTACAAGCAGGTTATATGCATGTACACGTTTACGTGCATAGCTAAAGAATTAATGCACTATCTGCAACAAAGCATCCAGGTACATGTACATATAAATGAATCTCATTTACATATAAAGTGTAGGTTTTTTGCAGATGGAATGGTGCATTACATTAAGCTTGAGTCTGATGTCTCAATTTGAAATCTACATATGCACCAACTGTTTTTCATGAAAGTACAATACTTAATTAAATCTACAGTACAATAATGTTTGCATGGTTATGTAACTAGAAATGTCCTGATCTTAAAAGCCGCACTGGTATTTTCCAAGGTGAAGAGTTCGTAAATGATGTACAAAGTACATGTACGCCCCAGGATGCATTGGCTGAATCACTATCTGGATTACACTGTTTAACCCATTTTAATCTGCAAATCTGATTAAATACACTTACATGTATATTGATTCAACTACTTCCTCAATACACTTCCCATAGTCATTCCAACACTTCCTGTAGACAGGAACTTCAAAAACACCCGATAAAGTGAGACAGAGTTTCAAACAATAATTAGAGTTTTACCTGAGAGAAAAGCAATCCTTCGCTTGAGGAGGTCCGATATTTGGACAGCCTGCATGACAGGATCTGTGGCGGGTAAAAAAAAATTTAAAAGTGGTTTATACTTCTGGAGTTTGCATGTATGTAGAAGTCAGTAGAAGTCAGACAACAGTACACTAAATCAATCACTAACCATAACAAAATGATTACAAATCTCACTCACAAGAAACTGCTCATCTGTCCTGTCTTCAATGAAAGTCAAACAAATCACTTGAAGTTCTCTGCATTAAGTGAGCTAATTTTATATTGTACATGTCAGCACATGTAGGCTAATAAAGCACTTCAATATTATTTTACAGTTACAGACGAGTATGTGCCAAGACCCTTGCCACAACCTGCCATTCATTTACATACATGAATAATGATACTGGTCAATTTAATGCACCTTAAGACTTGAAAGTTTTCATGGTGAAAGAACTATACGAGTAAAACGATTGCGGTTACACCATGGATCATTCTCTTTCTTGAGTATGTGTGGTTCTGAGAAGAACCGGGGAATAACTCATTCCCCGGGGAATGAGTTATTCCTCGGTTCCTCTCAGAACCACACATACTTAATGCACCTTCTTCTTCATACAGATACATGTCTGCTCTGAACAATTTCAAACATGTTCAAAACAACAACTGTCTTTTGTTGATAAAGCTAAACTGGGGCATGCTAAGTCTGGCTGGATATTTTTGCTAAGCACTCAGCTGGAGGCAACAGGAAATAATTTATGGCATTCAAGGTTGATCAGAATGTTCAACTGATTCAACAGAATATGTACATAAAATGCAGACTACAAAAACAGCCATACCAGTATTTACACGCTGTACATGTACATGAAGGCCAACACAGAAAATGTTCAGGCAGTCAAAGAATATTCAGTGAACGTTTTACCGACTTATCCTGCATCATTTGGTTCCAACTAAATCCTAACATTGTACACACACAGGAAACAAACATGGTAGACAGTAATTTTACAAATGTATTTTGTGAAGCACTTGACATTTAGTTTCTTTGAAATGATGTTGCATGGTACCATACATGTACGTAAATACTGAACAGCCAACTTGAACAATATTTGCTTCTTCCCTTGCACGCAGCCAAACTCTTCACAGACAAAACAACTCCAAGAAAATGGCACCATATTTGCTCTTAATACTTGTATATACATTTTTTCTCTCTTTCAACATTCAATCAATGCCTTATTTTAGTGTATTTGAATTTTTTATGGCACAACAGAGTCATTTTCACAACTTAGATACCAAAAAAGTGCTGCTCCGGAGTATGTTTGCAGAGATAAGATGTTTTACATTCGGGCCGCTACCACAATTTTATCGAAGATAGTGATCTAAGCTAGCAGACAGCCACACTAGCATATCACTGCAGTTTCCATGACCTTAGGTGTACAACACTGGTGAGTTGTTGGAGATGCACAATAAAAGCTGGGCTTGTGTCAACATTCAATATTTAAACCAGAGACAGGGGGGTTAAAGATTGAAATGGCAAGAATAATCATTGGTGGACCAACCTATTGAGAGGAATCTGAGCTACACTATGCATCCAGAATGCCAGTGTCATGCCATATAGGCATAGGATGTTAACTGTTTATTCACTTTGAATGACAATCCAACAATTATCAACAGACTTTCCAATACTACATGTACATTGTACTGCTGTACTGCATGGGCCTGTGATAAATGAAGCTTCAGCGGATTTGCATACAAATTTACATGTAAGAAATGAATAATGAGGTTCCTGTACTGTCCAGGGTATTTAATTATATTTGAACACAACGGGTTAGTGAGTCTCATCCCCATAATTAAATCTAAAATTGATATGTACATGTATGTATAAAAGACGGTGGAGTCCGTTAGTCTGTTACAAGAATTCCAAACTGTATTTTAAAGGATTGTGTGTAGCATTACAAGGGGTCCATTTTAATGTAAAAATGTGAAAATCTGCTTAAATCTGTATTGATAACTAGAATGTTGGAGGATCAACCAACCAACAATTCATTTGAGAATTTGGAAGGACGTGAACGAACAATGCAAGGAAATTCCAATACTAATTTCGAAGGAGTAAATGACAGACATGTACATGAAGTTTACATTGTTATGTACCTATCATGTACATAAATCTATCATGACTGAAAGATTCTGGACATCAAGTGTAGTGAATTGTCACAACACCATTATGTTCTGTAGGTCACTTCGTGTCTCCTTCATCAAAGCCCTTCAGAGACCAGGAACACAATTCCTGTCAAATAATGCACAAAGCCTCCAGAATGATAGATGGGTTACACCTTGAGAGCTTCCTCAAATGGAGCCCTGAAGCTCACAGAATAGAGGAATTCAGTTACAATAGTTCACCGACAAGCACCACTTTACCCATTGTGATCCTGACAGGAACCCACATGTACATGTACAAGTACGCATAGGCCTAGAAAACTTTCCTGGGTCATTCAGTCCAGTTTGAGCATAAAATGGAACCAAAGAGACGACACACGCAAATGGCAGGCAGTCACTAAAAAGAGAACTGCTGGAAAGGCCATACATAAATTTTCTGTACAGAGCTTTTATGATGATCGACTGGGCCTGCTGAAAGTGCATGGTATGGGAAGGTAATTTACATTTTGGCTTTTGATATAATCCTGAGTTATATGACACAGGAGGGGTCAGAAGGTAAAGGTCACCATACGGACGGAATTTTGCTTTAAACAAGAAGTATGCCGTTGACAAGGTATCTGAGCTTTTAGAAGTCTATACTCCAAACTTAGAATATGTGATGGCCATACAATACATTTTAGTTTAATATCACACAAATTTTCTTTAATTAAAGAAGTCAGAGTCAGAATACACGTCCAAAGGTTATTTTCAGAACCGAGAACACTCTATGTCTCTCACCATTTTGTTTCAGAGAAAAAGTACATTAACACCCACACAGATCAAAGAGCATGATTTCAGCACATACTGGTACATATACATGTACTTGTAAATGTACATGATGTACAGATGAGTGTACATTTTACACATTACTCAAAACACGAACTTTTACAGGGGACTGGATCCATGCCTAAATCCATGTACATGTACCAAATGAATGTGCTCAGCATTTCATTAAATTAAAGATTCCGACTGAACCAGGATACAGATTTTCTTTTATATTATTAAGCACGGATAGAAAAGTGAAAAAAAAATATTCTTAACCACATACTGTATACATGTACATGTATGCTAGCCCTTAAAACTCTATTAGATGGTGTAAAGAGGGAAGCATGCAAGACTCAAAAACTCTCTGGCCTGCTTTCCCCTGGGAACAATAACTACATATTATTGTAATGACCAGTACCACAGGAATTAGCCACAATACAAAGCAAACCGGCATTTCTTGTAATGGATACACAGAGTACAGGGGTCAAAGGTACTGGACAAAAATGCAGGATCTAAAAGAGGCTGACAAGTTACCTTGTGCTGGAGAGAAATCGAAACTGGGAACATGTGGCGCTGTATAAACTTTAGGGTTTGTTTGTGTGGATAATCACGATGGCTAAAAGAAATATTTCAACATGAACATTGACTGTTTCTTCTTATCTGTTTTTTTAATGATTTACGGTAAGACGGTTGCTTTTTTAAATTCAAAGAGGCTGGAACAAAATACCTTGTATGCTATGATTTATTTCAGAAGTCAATAATTTTGTGGAATTTGTCACTCTGCCAAGATGTACACATGGGAAACAAACAACTCAAAAGTGGAGTTGGCGAGCAAATAAATTTTCTGAAAAGTAGACGCCCAAAACAGGTGACAGGCACAAAATCTGATATCAAGAATATTGATTGAAGCTAATTCTCCAATGGTTGGTTGATGGGAAAGTCAGTTTGTCAACTATTTTATTTTTCTCACTAAGTGTACCAGTAACACCTCAATCAATTGCACTTGGCATATAAATCATTTTTCTCTGCTACAACAAACAGGTAGAAAACACTTTAAACCACAGGTCTTTCCAGGACAGCAGACTTTACATAACCTATTTTTATAGCCAAAGCTTTTCACCTATTCACCCTGACAAATTATAATGAACCAAGCCAGGTGATGTATGACCACCTATCAGCTGAGTGCCAACCAAACTGACAACCTAAGCCAAGGTCAGGACAGAGGTCATGATTATATATTCCCAACAACTGTTCAGTTTCCTACCATCAAATAAACTCGTGCTTGGACAGAATGGTCAGGAGACAAACCTGAATTTACTGAAAGGACTTGAATGGAAGTTTTCCTAATTTTACCTTTACAATTAGGACACCTATTTAAGTCAGTCCACACTTTATGCAACACCATGTTACTTACATGTAGTACATTTGAAGAAGGGCAAATTTGTATGATCCAACTAAAAACTGACTTTTTCAAAGTCCTGTTGCCTGGATCTATCCCACAGGTGGCAGAAATTGGAGGTATTCAGTACATTCATTTCCGTTTCCAATTTTGGATCCCTCACTGGAATCTGGAAAGACTTGTAATGTAACCGCACATTGCCCATCAGCTTTCAGAAATGTACATGTACATAGGCCCTACACACAGTACATGTACCACTGATGATAAATATATCCGAAACAACATCCATATACTAACCCACAATGGTAAACATAGAGCATGGGAGGTGTTATGTACTCTGATGCACCTTATCTATCAAAATCTACAAAGGCGAGGAGTAAGATTTTAATGGATAAGGGTTCGGTGTTAAGCACTTTAAATTCTTCCATGTCTACAGCAGTATTTGCCTAGAAATGGAATTTTATGTCAAAAAGCATGCTGATATTGAATTACATGGAGGTGGGTGTGGTCAAGGGAAGTTGTTGGAGGGATGGAATTATAATCACACTAAACCTACCTGGCAGTTTCACACCGATGCATTCAGACTTAGACTTATGTTGCCAACCGTACACAGCCATAACTCTGATGCTACGCAATCCACGCTGATATCAAAAATCCCACGACAACTCAATTTCCTCCACAAAGGAAATTCAGGACTAACAGCTGATCATAAATGATCTTCTTCAACATAGTTTTCAATTTGACCCTTGCTCATGGCAAACTGGGAAATACTAATAAGTATGTACATCACTTTATGCAGGGCAAGCTGAGAAAATAAAAACAGCAAAGATGTATTGATCTTGAGACGAAAGTGAGAAGTGCATGGACTGGGGGTGGTTGGAAGAACCACACTAAGGCACTGGTAATCCAGGCCTTAATCATCAGGTTCATATGATCTAGTCTCCATGCTGTGCCCAGACATCCAGCCTCACCAACAAGTCTGAAATCCAAAGCCAAGGACCGAGAACCCCCTCAGTGCACTCAAGACTAGGCACGGTTTTGATAAGAGCCAACGAGCAATGGCCCACCTCTGAGGAAGACAGAATACAGAGGCTGTAACGTGCTGTCACCAAACCAGAGTAACTATGAAAGGCATGCAATCCTCCAGGAAGGCAGAGCTGTTGACATATTCCATGTTACGAGTCACAGCAACAGATGTAAGAGGTTACATGTAGGCTAGGAGCAAGCGAGAGAAAAAAATCTGGTACCGAAAGGTGAGGGCTGTATATGGTAGGATAAACACAGGCAACTGGAAGTACATCAATAATTGTGTCTGAGGTCTTGTAATCAAGGTCTCATGCAACAGCTCCTCAGGGATTTCAGAGCTACAGATGAAGTTGATTTTGTCAATGGTGTGTGGTTATCACATGTTACATTAATTTTAGGACAGAGGGTGCGTCCAACGTTCATCTCTATTACCAATATTTGACAAACCCGATTTTATTTTGGTAATCTCAGATACGATGATAGCGATTAAAAAATTAAGTACATTAATGTTACTTATCAGTTAGAAACTGTAATGTAATTAAAGTGATATCATGATGCTACAAGTACAAATGCCTTAAAGTGTCATAGCAATGTAGTCTTGTTTAAACGTAACGATTCATTTATGTGGTGACTTTCATTGCACAACATACATACTGCAGACTTTTTTCTATGTGAGGGTTTAGGGAATCACTGAATGCAAGTATTCTAGGCAGTGAAAGAAAAAATGCTTAAACTTACATGTATATAAGCAGATCAAAAACAATTTTCTGCTTCCAATTACACATACGTGCCTCTCAAATAGGGTGGCAAGGTAGAAATTTTGAATCTTTGGCAATTTTTTGTGCGTGCTGATTGCACGGGATATTCAATTATATGCCAATTTCACCCTTGACCATTTCCATTTGCACAACATAAACTATTAAATAATTGCCACCAAAAATGATATAAACTTGCATTGATTGCTGTGAAAAATATTTACCGACTGTAATTCTTAAAATAATGGAGGATTCAGGTTGTGCACACCATTGTGCACAACACTAGTCACGACTGGAAACAGGCCAAAAATGTCCATGCATGCAGGATGCATCTGTGGGGTGGATTATGAACATCAACTTGCAACAAGAAATTTTGATGAAACGGGCTTGGTTCAAGTATGAGCAATTCATGAGCATGGAAAATAATACAGACAAAATCAAGTTTAATGATAGCGAATTATGAAGTTGATGAATTTCTTACTTCATCAATGTTTTACTTATTTATAATGTACGGTAACACTATGTGGCTGGGATGCTATACTGGTTGCCACATTGCCATCATGATTTCTTTAGCAATGGCAGTGTGGAGCAGCAGGAACCAGCACAGCATTGAGCATTTGAGCATCATTGCACATTTTTTTCACAGCCAAACGCAAAGGAAACTCATGAAACAATGTCTTCTCAAAAGTTGTGAATTAAAGTAGACAAACATTTGAATTCAAGTGTCTTTGATGTAAAAACAAGTTGATGAGAGACATTTTGGGGGGACAGATGACAGGAATTTTTATTATCAACTTTTTTTTCAATTCATTCTTTTTTAAATGCCGATCGATAATAATTTCAGGCTTGTGCCAAAAAATTAAGGTCAGTCAGAAAACTGGAAGCAGAACTATTTTATTTTCTGACCTACATGTAAGCTCTGCATACACTGTACAAAGCATGTTCAACAACCTCAAGTTCAAAGTGCAAGTAGCCTTGATTAAACAAATGAAGAGGGGTTGGAGGCAATTGTTATTTTTATCAACATTCCACAATCAAGTTTTTTTTTCAAATTCCTCAAAGTTTTTCAATTCAATTGACTGGATGGTCTTCAGTAAGAAAATAACCTGGCATACCTGTGCATACAAACATGTACAGTGTTTACTCCACAGCAACGAAAACCTTTTGTGTTCAGGCAGGGTACCGATAGCATGCCTGACACTAACCCATGCAGTTTAGGTTGAAATTTAACCCAGAAGCAGCGTACTATGCACATACTGTCGACTGATAACGGGTGTAACAATTAGTCTTTTACCAGTGGTGGTTTTCTTAAAAAACATTTATTTTAAAGGCAATGTCAAATATCCAAAATTAATACCCTTCTTTACAAGCCCACTAAGCAAGATGAAATCACAAACCAAGATGTTAGTGGTCCGGAAGGAAACAAACTTTATTTTTAAGGTTGGGATCTTGGACTTGAGGCATTAAAAATCGAGACACCTACACTCCATATTTATGATTCATGCACAGGGAATGCATTTTCATTGACAACAATGATTTAGGGCTGTCGACAAAACTAAAGCACAATGTAATGGACACTGCTTATGTTACTTGGGTTACAAATGGTTATTTTTGACACTGTGTAAACACGAGCATGGCTGGAGTTATGCCAACAGACATATGGCTAATCAGGTTTACTGTTGCACTAATGCACCACTGTAGAACAAAGGTTCTGTGTTTTTTTCAAAAATAATTAAGAACTCTTCTTAAACTGAACCATTTGTCTCAAGGCCACAAAATATAGGTTATCACTTTATGTAGAAAAATTGACCAAATGAATTACCATTTAATAAAAATATCAGGGCCCCGACATTCCAATCCTAGCAGAAAATTTGTGAAAGCCAACAAACTGACTGAAACTTTAAAATGAAATGATTCCTGGAAATCTGTCCCTCTTTAGCATATTATAGGACATAAAATCAATAAGATCATCCATTTTGATGCACTAAATGGTTGTCAACTTTGGAACAATAAAAACATCCTGTTGGGGAAAAGAACTCATACTCACGCTTGCGTACAGCGTAGACCCCACCATTTCTGGAATCGGTTCCACTTGCGTCATGGACGTAACTGTATTCTACAATGCCTGACGTTGAGCTGAGATTTGAAGCATACCGTTCACCTCTGCTTCTCCGATAACTGGCAGCCATCATGGATTAACTCAGCAGTAAGTACTGCAGGATGGAAGAAAAACTACAATCAGTTGCAGGTAAAAAAAAAGGTTTACAAATTTTCAACAGAAAAACCTCAAGCAAGGTTTTAGCTAGAAATATTCTATGGGCATCTTTTAGACATCTCGTATTACTTTAGCCATTTTGGACGTCCTATTGTAAATTCTGAAAAAAAAGTATTTTCAAAATTGCCAACTTGGACAACCTACTTTTCAACTTGCGGTAAACACTTATTTTTCAAAGTTTCTCTGCCCTAAATAAGCAGACTTCAGGTTTCGGTTCTTCCAACTACAAATACAATTCCATTGGCTTTTTATAAATTTCAGTTTGAGAAGACTGATAGTGTAATTTGACACAATGATTGTAAACCGCTTGAAACTGAGGTTGACATTACAGCTCACAAACTTGAAATCTCTTTCTCTTATTCTGATATTCATTACTTTCTTATCAATGGATGTTATGGAGTTCCAACTCGGAGAATGAGGCTATAATTACATGTACTTCATTCCAATGGGTAAACACTTTGGAATGTCTAATCACACGATGCAGATTTGTAACAGAACATTTTTAAATGAAACATGTTGAAAATATTCAAAACTGTGACTGTTGTTTAATCATCAACACGCTTTACATCTGCCACACCCACACAAGGAAACCAGTTATGCTCAGCACTCTAACCTCCATGCTCATTCACATAAAACCCAGAACAGGCAGTCAATAGAAGCAGGTTCTCAACAATAGAGTAACCTCTGTGGGTATATGTCTGTTCAATGAACCAGTGAACCGAATGCAAATTACACCCCAGCCCACACAATAGGATAGACTTGTGTGGTACTCACAGAGCACCCCTAGCCCAGTACTGAGAGGGTACCATGTTGGATTGGAGGTCAGACAAGTATAACAAGGGCTTGAAACTGGATATTACTAGGGACAAGCCAAACGACATCTGACTGTGGATTTGTTACTGTATGAAAATTTGCTTGGAATAAAAACTTACAGGACTGGTCGACTGGTTTCTAGTTTAACGTTCCCATTAACAAGCATGTGTTGCCTTTGAAATAATTTTCTTGTTCATTCCGCGTTCAAAATCCAGAAAGTCCAATAGAGTTTTCACTTTGCTGGGATTGCAAGTCAATAGTTTTTCTGGCATATGCAATCAAACAATTATAAAAAAATAACCATTAAAGAGCTTGTGATTCCCTTTGAACTGTGAGATTTAAGTTTAAGCCCAATTCCCACAATATTTATGTTAGGAGCCTGTTTGATAATTTTTCCAAAATGCTCCACTGTACAGAAACCTAAACACACATCCTACACTTGAAATTTCAAGGGCCATTCGGCCAATGTAAAGTCTTTGTTTATAAATTGGTTTCTACAGGTTTGCCAAAATCCTTAAAATCTTCTCAAATTTCCCAGTAGACTTTAAAGGATCTGTGAGGTACATGTATGCATATTTGCATATTTGGCTAAAGAACATTTTTAATGAAAAAATATATAAAACATGATACAATATAGGGCCTACACTTTTTAGCCTTGGCAGTCCCATATAAATTGTGCAAAATCCACCTGACAACTAGTGGCATCGATCTATGCCAGAAATTGGGGATTGGGAATTGTGCAGGATGACTTGCCCTACCATGGAAATTTGAAAAGCTGTGGGGAGATAACACCATATGAGATTATATTAGGGGGCAATGCTCATGGTACAGACATAAATCTGTAATGTGTATGACATTCATTCAAATACGTCAGAATGGCATATTTTTATTGTTCTCCTTTTGACTGATATCGAATACATTTTGGTTCTTGGGAAGTGTGAAAAATACTTTACAATCTGCTTTAATTTTCTATCATTGCAAAAAAGTTTGGGGGGGGGGGAATTATTTAATAGCTCATCCCCTAGTCAAAATCTGGGGGCATATACACCCCTATCCGCTTGGGATTTATGCTCATGCTAAAAACCAAAGATTTTTGAAAAGCTGGTTAAAAAAAAGGTCCAAACCTTGGCACATGGATTAGTGGAATACTACCTATTGTTCAACTGCCCTTCCCTAAATTTAAAATGTGTTAGGCAAAAACAAAAAATTAGCATTTCCAGGGTACCCTTCCTAACCAAGAAAAGAATCTATATGTCAATTTTTTTCAAATAATTATAAACAAAATAAAATTACAGTGACAACCCCAGAGCGTAATTTTGGAGTACATCATCCTGTTTTCTTTTTGAAAAGAACAAGTAGGGCCTACATGTACAAATGCAATGCACATTTACATGTATTTTGCTTTTGCTTTTGGATATATATGCAATTAATTTAAGCCATTAAAAACAGCTACAGTGCTGAAAAATGATGCAGGACAAACATGTTGCATCTAATGCAAATACTTCTGAATAATGTAATCAAATACATGGACTCAACTTTTCTGTTTGGTATAGGGCAATATAAGCATAACCATGTGTTCTTTAAATATTCCTCCATGATATGGGGCAGTGCGGACATCCGGGATTCTCGCAAAATGGTAGGTACCATGCCGGTGAAAACAGCGACCATGGCGACTTACTGTATGCATGCACCAGCCAGTCCGAGGATCAGGTTAATCAATTTTTCTTTGATCAGGACGTACGCGCACGCTCGTTGTAGTTATTTTCTTCAGCGCGGTATGGTTGCTACCCACAATTTTGTGAAACTCCCAGATGTCTGCACTGCCCCATAACCTATAACTGTATTTCCGTAGCCTCTCATTGAGGCCTATTCATTTTTCTACAAATTGATAATGTTTCTTTAATAATTATTATTTAGGTCTATATCAATACGTAGGGCCTACGCACTTTACAAATGAATTGATACATGCTAAATAGTATATCCTTTCCTTCGATAAAGACAAACTAGGAAGAATCTCCCATCTAGCAAACTTTTCTGTTGACTTTGTAAACAGTTTTCCCTCAGCCGAATTTATGAACAAGTTTTCCTCAATGAAAACACAAACTAAACCTGAGACCAAATTACCTGTTTGAGGGTGAACAGGCTAACCTGGTGTCCAGGGAAAAAATTCTTTCTAAGTATTCATAAATATCTTATATTAACATGAGTATCCACAACTCATGGTCATTCCCACAAAACGTCAATATACTTTGAATTGCCAACTGTACCGGTGCTGTAATGACATGAATGAAACTAGGCCCTCTTAATGCACGTTAACTTCACAATTTACGCAACTCCAAACAAATGTCACAAACAAAATGCACCCTACCTATACTCAGGATACCTCTGCACAGCTTCTGCAGGCCAATGCTTCCACTACATCATCGTCTTTTGGCAGCTTCTGAGGACGAAAACACCAGGATAGGACCCTACATATATATTTTCTCGATAGAGATATGGTTATTTGGCCTGCATGCTGAAGTGTTAGCGCTTGAATGACCGCCTGCTGAGTTGGACTTTGGTCGAGACTTCCAACGCCCTACAACACAAAAAAACACTCTCAATATTTTTACTCTTTTACGAGCAAATACAAATACTGACTCTAAATATGAAATTTTAAACAACAATCTTTACAAGAAAATGCAAAGTACCTGTTGTTCAGTGAGTCACATTTTTCAAGAAGTGGACTTAATTCTTGATGGAGGGACTTTCCAGGGGGAGAAATTAAGATTCTACCAACAGCACGGAAGTCACTTTTCCAACAGGTGTGTTCTGATCGGACCCAAGAGGTCGCTGTTCAACATTTACAGTGGAGTCAATTGAGAGAGTGCGCAGAAATGGTGCGCAGTAAGAGCAGCTGTCACATACACCCCAACTAAAGCAATGGTCCCAACTACAATTGGGCCGTCCCAACTATAATTCGGCCACTAAAGTGCAAATTGTGGTTGGGACCGATCCAGCTGCGAAGGGAAATACGGCCGCAGGGCGATGAATTTTCCGATAAAGTCTCAACTAGTTGCAGGGCTGGGGGGGAAGCAGCCCCCCCATCAGTAAAACAATTCGCATGTGATGTAACCCCCCCGGACAATTTTGTAAAAGACATTTGCTCTTTCCAGTGCCCCATAGGAGTAGTGGGAAGAGCAAAATGCTTCAAAACATCTCCAAGGACTGATCACGATCAATTCTGGATAAAGGTTTCTCGAGGAACTCTGTCTCAAAAACACGTTGGAGAGTTGGCAATAATTTTAAGGAATTTATTTTCTAAAGTATTAATTGTCTACCATACTTTAGATTCCCGGACTGCTCTGTCGCGTCGCATACGCGCACTTGGGATGTCCCAACTACCGGTACGATTGGGGCAGACCCAGTGGTTAGGGCCATTGCCGTAGTTGGGACATGTTGGTACGTTTCAAGCGACACCTTAACCCTAAAAGAACCGGGGCCGGAATTGCTTCCCCCCCCCCC